TTCTTGGGACTTTAAGAGAATAAAAAAACTAGGTCATTTAATATTTATTTTTAATGACTGAAACAGTAACCCTTCGACTGCAAATTGCTTGGCTCAGGTCCCCATGGAATTTCACAAAAGCAAAACTAAGCAGTCAGGGAAGAGTTGTGCCCCATTTACTGCATCATGTTGATGGTACACAGGACATCAGATTTTGGTGACTGGACCAGACACGTGACTAAGTGCCTGGCTCTCCCCACCTCTGTGAGTTTCTAATGTGAGTGATGCCACTGGATCCACAGAGCCTTCAAAGAAATTATCTACAGAATTACAGAGAGGAACTGTGGAGGTCATGTAGACCAACCCCTAGTTCAATGCAGGATGCAATTAAAGCATCATTGACGGAGGACGACCAAATCTCATTTTAAACACCTCCAGAAAAGAGGAGTGTGCCACCTCCTTGCACAGTCTGCTCCACCGTAAAACAGCACTTACCACTGAAGTCACACACCATAGATTTAAATGCATGGCTTCTCCCCAAAGGATCATGGGAACTGAGTTTCCCCTCCCACAGAGCTACAACTCCCAGTGCCCTTAACAATCTACAGTTCCCAGGACTTTTGGGGAGAAGCCATGTCCTTTAAATTCATGGGTCCAGTTAGGTCTGAAAATGCTGAAGATTTCCATCATAGATCATGTGGACCTATTTCATATGGAGTCCAACCAATGGTTATTCTAACTCAGTACTACTGAACTGCCCCCATAATCCAGATCTTTAGGTTTTCCCAGCCAGGAGTATTTCCCAGCTGTGGAGATGCTAGATGGAGATGTGAAGCTTCAGATCTGGGGCTTCCTCTACTTTTGGCTCCACTTGATCTTTTTAGCAAGAAGCGAGGGAAACATGCACAGCAGCACAAATCTAGCATTTCTGCAAGTGACAGTGTGTTTTCTTGAGAAAATAAAAATATAACTGTAAATATAAACTCCAAGCTAAAAAAAGCTAGGCAAGAGCTTTATTTTGCCCCATAAGTTAACATTTTCCAGTTGTTGTGAAAATTCATCTGTTTTTAGCAATGTCTTGTGTGAGCCTATCATCCTGCAGCTGTTTGGGACCCCATGCATCTGACTCAGTGCTTACCACAAGAAGCTCCATATTTGATGGATGAGTTGAATGATAGAGAAATCAGGGACAAAGGAAGTTCTCTGTTAAGATGCTGCTACTCTTCACCAGCAGCCAGGAAGCATGCATACTTGCTATTGCCTGGCTGATATAGGAAGCCCACCCCAACTCTTGTGCTGCAATCCAAACTATTCATACTGACACTGTCTATTTGTTCCTTGTGATGGCAACATGCAGCCATCAAAGTCTAAATAGCTCCATGATTGATTAACTCTCACTGTCATTATTCCCTGATTAATCACTGCTTTTTTTAACGGATCACCATCACCCATAATCTCACAACAAAACCAGGACCCAGCAGAGAAACAGATGATGATGAAGAATTCCCTCATATGAGAGGTTGTGATGGCAATTGTGAATCTTCACTTTCCAATAAAAATAGGCAGTTAATGGGCTATGATAGTCAAAGAGAACCTGCGGCCCTCCTGATATTGCCAGATTACAACTCCCACCGTCCTTCCCATTATGTTGGTAGGGGCTGATGGGAATTGGAGTCCAACATCGGGAGGGGGCACAGGTTCCTCAGTCTATGACAGTCCTTAATTCTCCTGCACCAGGTTACACCTGCAAAAATTAAGAAAATATGAGAATTTGTTCAAGTGCATTGCTGCATATTGGTGGTATAAGCACTTGAAAAACACATAAATAGATACATTTGAAAAGGGAAGGTATTTTATTCTCATTTTTAAAACAAACCAACAAACCACAACTTTCCATCCAGATGAACAGACCTGTCCACCCTATCTCCTCAGGTAGAGAACCTCAGAGCCCAAGCAATGAGACCTAATAAGCCAGGCTCCAAAGAGTATAACCAAAAAAACTGAAGTCTGGTGAGAAAGACTGAGTGATACTGGAATAAGAGAGTACAGTACAGGATGGTACAAGGATGCCCACAAGCCCATCACAGGGTGGCATGGAGTATCCCTCTATTGGGTCAATAGCAATATAGTGAGACGTTTGAAAAGCAAAGCCAGTAGTTAAAAAGAAGGAAGAAAGGAAAGAAAGAAAGAAAGAAAGAAAGAAAGAAAGAAAGAGTACAAATGGCACACAGTGTTCTTTAAAGACGGAAGTAGATGCTGTTTGCCTCTTCCTGAAATATTTGCTATGTAGCCACGGGCATTTATTGCAGCATTTCTCAGAAGATTTTTTGAATACCCATCTCATAAAAAGTGCTATCTTGGGAGCACAGCCAATGAACTTGTCATGTCAGGGCTGTGCAGAGAAGCTAATATTTGTATTTGTTGTCAGGTTGCTGCAGCACAGAGTGTGGGGGTGGAGCTGGTGAGAAGCTAGCAGTTCTTTTGCCCTTTCCCCAGCTTCCACTCCCTGCTGTCCAGCTTCTGCACATACTGCTGCTTCTGTTCCTGTGCCTCTGCAACATCAAGTTTTCTGGTGCACATTGAATGCTGGTGCACATGCAACTCTGGCAGTGTCAGTGGCTTGCCCACCCCAGGAGACGGCAACCCATGCTACACCACTGCGTGCAGCTGATTCCTGCTGAAAGTGACCAATAGGAACCAACCCCTAGCAGCTGAGGTCCTTTCAGCCTCCACCAAATAATATATTTGAGGGCCCCCCCAAGATTGATGGGCATTGCCGTTCCAATGGTGTTCATGTACAGTGTCATGTGATTGATTATGTGGGGCACGGCTTACCTGGACAACCCCCCCCCAATATTTTATTCAAGTTGGCACCCCTGCCAGTGCTTGTCAGCTGGCCATCTTGATCCTGGAGTGAAAAGAAAGAGGTGAAAAAATTGGGAGTGCACTTAGAACATGCTCCTGACTCTTTGCTTTGAAGCTGGGTCATAAGAACATAAAAAGAGCCTGTTGGATCAGGCCTGTAGCCCACCTAGTCCAGCATCCTCTTCTCACAGTGGTCGGCCAGATAGCTAAGAGAAGCTGACAAACAGGATCCACAGGCAGCTCTCTTGATGGCATGGCAACATCAAGTGATTGATATGTGGGTGGCCCCACCCAAGTGTCAAAGTGGCTCATGCCAGTCCCTGATCCTAGTCTTCACCCCTGCCCTAAATATTCTAAATATAATTAGTGGGGAATCAAAATTCCTGCTCTCACATCTGACAGCATGGCCGAAATAATCTGGAAGGGCTCCAGGACACTGATGTTGAAAAGACACCAGGAACCCTCTGGCAAGGACCTTTTGCTCTTATCTGCACTCTCCTTTCATGCCTGAATCAGCAAGGGACAAGAACATCAAATCAGAAATAACACCATTACCTGTCAGAGAGAACATGTGAAAAATTATCACCCTGTGTCAAAGCCAAATTTCAGGCCCCTCTGCCTTAAACACTTCTTAGGTGTCCTACATTGCATATGACAGTCCTCAGTTTTAAGGATCGTCAGAGAACCAGTCAGAGACTGGTTTAAAGATAAAGAACCATAAACAATTTGGGACCAGGATACCTCATAACAAATCACTACCTGGAGTACAGACCAAGCAGATCTTACAAGATCTTCCATGGAGACCCTGGTGGCCATTCCACAACCACTGGACTGTCACTTCTCACTTTGTGACAAAGTGGAAGCAGGTCTTTTTGGTGATAGCATCCATGCCCCAGCATGCTCTCCCTTCAGTAATTCATGAAGTGGTGACAGTTGTTGTTTAGTCATTTAGTCGTGTCCAACTCTTCGTGACCCCATGGACCAGAGCACGCCAGGCACTCCTGTCTTCCACTGCCTCCCACAGCTTGGTCAAACTCATGCTGGTAGCTTCGAGAACACTGTCCAACCATCTTGTCCTCTGTCGTCCCCTTCTCCTTGTGCCCTCAATCTTTCACAACATCAGGGTCTTTTCCAGGGAGTCTTCTCTTCTCATGAGGTGGCCAAAGTACTGGAGCTTCAGCTTCAGGATCTGTCCTTCCAATGAGCACTCAGAGCTGATTTCCTTCAGAATGGATAGGTTTGATCTTCTTGCAGTCCATGGTGACAGTAGTAACTTTTAAATACCACTTAAGACCCAATGGAAGGGATTCACCTAACCAGTTCCATCAGTGGAAACCCTCCATAAGGACTTCTGCTTGCACAATGCGGATCCCCCCAACTCTTCTCCCCACGCTTCCTGTGTCCCCCAAAATTGGCTTGGGGGGGGGGTCAGGAGAATCCCAGAACAGTGCTTTGCTTGCACAGACTGAATGATTGGAAGATCACAATGCTGAGTTTCATCCTCTATGTTTGCCCTTGCTTTCCTGGTCTTCAACTCTTAATTTTTCATTTTCATTTTGTTTTGTATACTGCTCAGTTTTATTTCTGATATGCAGTTTGAAAAATGAACCAGTGAGGCATTACAATAAAAACCAAACAACAACATATTGGTTGTTCTTTCTCCACCAGATAAAAATGATCCTCCACTGCACCAGATTTGCCATCCTCCTCCTGCCCAGCTTCCCCAATCTAACTCAGCACGCACACTTGTATTTCTGTATCTTTTCCTTTATTACGATGCCTTGGTCAATATATTTCTTCATCCGTATGCCCTATCACCTGTTTCCACAGTCCTGGTCTTCTGTGACTGAATGGTGACAATCTGTGCAGTGGTTTCATTTTTTTTAACATGGTAACAAATGGGAATTAAATTGAGGCCAGCAAGCTCATTTTCGATCTCAGTCGCCGCCGTAATAAGATTTCAGAGGGCGTCTCACCCATCGGCACTTCACAGCAGCTGTCTGTTTCCACTTGGAAAACGCTGTCCACTCTCTCTCCTCCTGCTGCTGTCTCTCCTGCATGCTTTTGCTGGCCTATTTGAAAGAGCCTTTGTATTTTCAAAGTCCTTATGGAAAAGCACAGACAGATAGCTACTTGAGTGTTCTCTTTTCTTGTTTATCTGAATCCATCAGGCAGAGAGGCTTGATTCTGCATGCAGTACCCCCTGGCAGTGGAAGGTGGCTATCTGCTAATTTGTGCCAGCAAACTAAAGATCAGGATCCGGCCCCACGCACTCATTCTGCACCAGCTTCTCAGAGAAATAATAGCACAGCCCATAGCAGCCAGCCTGCATTTCTCCACTGACGCTTTAGTGCCAGGTCAGCTGCTGCAGCAGGGGCTGATATGTCATCCAAACTCACACTAATATTACAAATTTTGCGGTGTAAGGAAGAAGCATTAGTGGCACCAGAGAGATTAAAGCAAGCTCAGAAATAGTATTTGGAGACCGGGACAGGCTGGACACCTGAGAGAAGTCCATGTGCTGAAAGAAAGGGATCCCATAGCAGAGCAGAGGGAGGAAAGCAATTTTTGGCAATTTTCCCTATCCACTGAAGCCACAAGTGCATTTCCTAAATCAGTTTCACAGGACTGGGAGACCCAATGGAACAGATCCAAAATTGACTGGAGGAAGCAGGAGGTATCGCCAACTATTTTAATTCTGCTTTCAATTCTGATGATGGATACTTCCCAGAAGTGGATTGACACCATGAGATACCACCCAGTGAGCTGAAAGGCTCATCCAGTGGAAGCTGAGGGCCTCTCTCTGCATCCTTTTTATGATGATTTGTGCTTCTGAGGGCATTGGGGTGGTTATACATGATCCTTCTTTCCACAATGTTGCATCTGCAAAAGTTTCAGGGCAGACATACTGATTTGCTTTGTCCCATAGCTTCCTGCTGAAATCATGTAACTTTTCATACCACAAAAGTTCTGGTTTCTGTTTTTGTGTTGTTCTGCTTTTGTTGTGCTATACCCTTCCAGACAGAAATGGTGCAATAACATCAGCGAAGCATCACAGAACAACTAGATAAAGTGGAATGATTTGTGGATACTCCAGCATAAATCCACCACTCATACAGTATGATTGCATCAATGGCATGTTGCAGAATACATCTGCAAAACAACAACAGTCCAGCAATCTGGAGGGCCCCAGAATTAAGACTTGGCCCAATAATGTAAGTTCAATTCCAGTCTCTTGAGCCAGTGCAAGAGAACTGTACCTGATTTACCAAGAAGCAGTGAGGCTTAGCCACTCAGGACCTTTACAAATACATGATTAAAGTGAAACAAATGCACAACTGTTGCTCATTTGTTGTATGGCATTCTCATGTCTTTTTTCAATGAAGTTTTTGCCTTTCAATGATTCGTTCCCCATCCCAATTCCACCATCCTCTGCATGCTGCAAACATCAAAATATTTTGTTACTGGAACAATACAATTCTCTCCTAGAAAGCAGGATCACTGCAATGTGGAATGGTTGCTCCAGTGTCATGGACACCTTTTGGAGAGCATCATGATGTCATTGATAACAAATAAGGCAACTTCCAAATCCCAAACTTCCCCATGACACCAGACTTGCACAGGAGCTAAAACTGACCAATTTCACAGCAAAGTGAAAGCGAAGTCCCTTGTCAGGTTCATCATCCTCATCTGTATTGCTCTATGTATTTTTATTTATGCAGAAGCATAATACTCTCAAGGCAGGATTTCCTGGCTGGGATGAGATCCTGCCTTCTAGCTCCCACTTTGGAAGCTAAGTTTTCTCCCTTTCATCGACTGCCCAATATCTAGTGTGTGTGTATCTGTGAAATAGCATGGCTATCACCACTGTAGCAAGCTGACTCCACATCTGCTACACATAGGGCTGGATACTGCCCCCTTGACTGTAAATTATGGCTTGCAGGGCTATCCTGCAAAGCCTACACAGCTGTTGTTGAGAGCATGCTTTGAACTGATCGTTTGGATAAGCCCTCAGTCAGTGGCTGCACTGCATTACTTAACAGAAGTCATTTGGAGCTGTGGCTCTCGCAAGCTAAGATTGGTTCTTCATGGGAAATTATTTCTCAGGCCCCAGCAAGATGTGAACAATTTTCGGGGCAAGTTAGATGATTCAGCTGGAAGTTCTGACTGATGCCAGCTCATTAGCTCTCTCCCCTTTAGCTGTTCCACAGATATAGACCCACAGTGGGGTAATGTTATACAAATAATATGAGTCTCAGTGTGTAAGATGTGCTATTAGGAAAAACATTTTCCTTTATTTTTTTAAATAATATTTATTAAAGTTTCAAAAAAAGATTACAAAAATAAGAAGAAAAAGAAAAGAAAATACAAAATACAAAATACAGAAAAATAAAAACAATTAAAAACAAATCAATCTTTCCATATCTTATCTTTCATTTGCTTGTTTCCCTGACCTCCTCACACCTCCCTTTTTTGTATTCCAGTTCAATTAATTAATTCAGCAATTCCCTTCCCTCTTTGATTTTATCTTAATCTTTTATCTTAATATATTATAACTTTAAATTATCACTTGTTAACAATCCATTTTTACATATTCCTTTATAACATTGCTGCTAAAAAAACCCTTAACTTCAATCCAACATCATTCTAACATTCATTAATTTTGCAGTATTTCTGTAGATAGTTTTTAAATTTCTTCCAATCTTCTTCCACCGACTCTTCTCCCTGGTCTCGGATTCTGCCGGTCATTTCCGCCAGTTCCATATAGTCCATCACCTTCATCTGCCATTCTTCCAGAGTGGGTCTTGTGTCTTCCAATACTTTGCGATAAGTATTCTTGCTGCTGTTGTAGCATACATAAAGAAAGTTCTATCCTTCTTTAACACCAATTGGCCAACCATGCCCAGGAGAAAGGCCTCTGGTTTCTTCAGAAAGGTATATTTAAATACCTTCTTCATTTCATTATAAATCATCTCCCAGAAGGCCTTGGGCACGTCCACCAAAGGTGAAAGAATGTACCTTCATAGGAAAAACATTTTCCTTTAAGGTAGCTTTTGTCTGATGGTACAACAGATTGTACCGAGACTAGGAAGAGTAAATGTTGTAGGAACTCAATTGCCCCCCTCTATTTTTTTAAGTTGACTTCCAAAATACAGTGGAACCTCGGTTGTCGAATGCTTCGGAACTCAAATTTTTTGGCTTTCAAACACCAACAACCCCGAAGTGAATGCTTCCGTTTTAGAACGCGCCTCGGAAGTTGAATGGCTTCCGAGGTGGATTACTCCATTTTCTCCACTGCAATTGCTGACTGGCAATTGTGCCTTGGTTGTTGAAAGTTTCAGAAGTCAAACGGTTTCCCGGAATGGATTATGTTCAACAACCGAGATTCCACTGTATAGGCCATGTACTATAATCACATGGAGAAAGATCAGTGCAAAATTAGCTGTACACTTCCCACAGCAGCCATAAACTCAGAGATGGAATGTCATGCACAACGACCCCATTCATCCACTGACCTTTCTCCCTGTGGTCATGTACATGTGCACAGGCTCAAATGGAGTGTCTGAAATGGCATGGAATTAAAGTGCAGAGCCAAACACCAGAGGATCCTTCTGAAGAGGATGTGCAAAGGTGAATTTTGTTAAGTTCAGTCACTTTTAAGGTAGTCTCATTTAAATGCATGTGAGAATGGGGTGTGTATATGTGAGAGGATAGGGATTATGGCCTTTGGTTCCACCCCAACAATCACTTTCTCTGGAGGGAATGCAGGGGGAAATCCTCCATCTCTGAAGTACAGGATAGGTGCTGTATTATTTCTCTGCAAAGACGATCCAAGTTGTCCCAAGAAAGAAAACCCTACATTGACTAGAATATATGTTTGTTTTAAAAATGAGTGATTTTCTACACCACATCCATAATAAAGTATTCATAAGTGGCATGTAGAAGAATAAAATTGGTTCCTAATGTCAGTTGTGAAAATACCTTCTTTAGTCGGTGCACCTCAAAAACAATATTGAAGAGTTTAAAAAGCTGCTGAAAAAGGCACCCAAAACAATCCAGGGACTGGAGCAACTCCCCTAGGAGGAAAAGTAACAACATTTGGGGGGGGGGGGTTGCTGCTGGACTCAGGTCTTAGGCTTCTCATAGGCTTCTGGTTGGCCACTGAGAGAACAGGAGGCTGGACAAGGTGGACCTCTGGTCTCATCCAGCAAGGTTGTTCTTAAGGTTTATGTTACATAAAAATTCAAAGGAACACACCACAATAAATGTTCTTTTATTGTGCCTTGCTGCCTAATTAACTAGTCATTTATACAATTTTGATTGTTTGCACATAAAGTTGCTGAATTTTACAAAAGTACTGTTTATGCTCTCATAACAGCTGTCTGAATAGCTGGACTCTCTGGTGAACTGATGTTTTAGAAAAAAATCTTTTGTTGTTGTTACATCTGCTGGTGGTGGAAACCTAGAGTATTAAAATCTTAGATCATTGTTTGATTAAACCATCTCATTTTATTTACACCAAAGATCTTTGGGAAGCTAATTCTGCTTCATAATTTATTTACTGCTCATTGGATATGGATTTATTCAGACTATCAACAACATGAAATGTTTGATTTCTTTTTAAAGCAACAGCTGTACATAAAACCAATCTGGGTGTTAATCAGGAAAGAAAATAAAGTTCTGCTCTCTAGGTTGTACAGGGATTTATGTCCCCAGCAGTTACTTGGGTCTGTTTTGGAAGTGATGAATTGTTCAAAAGGAGAAGCATTTCATAAGAACATATGAAGAGCCTGCTGGATCAGGCCAATGGCTCATCTAGTCCAGCATCCTGTTCTCGCAGTGGCCAACAAGATGCCCATGGGAAACCCACAAGCAGGATCCGAGCACAAGAGCACTCTCCTCTCCTGGGTTTTCAAGCAACTGGTATTCAGAAACATTACTGCATCTGACTGTGGAAGCAGAGAATGGCCTTCATGTCTTGTAGCCACTGATATCCTTACTCTCTATGAATTTGACTAATCCTCTTTTAAGGCTTTTTAAATTTCCACCTATAAAAAAGTCTGGGTCTACAAGAAGACTGCCACACAAGATTATGCATCAATTCCACTATATGTAGAAGCATAGGAGAACTGCAACTAGTGTCATGGCTTTACAGGATGTTTCATGTAGCAAAACACGATATATCCAATTGGTAGGCATCAGTTTTCTGCAATATCCCCCCTTTTTTATTACTCCCGTTCCTATTATCTTTGCATCACATTCTTTCTCCAAGAAGCTTAGGATGCCATACGTTGGGTTATCCCATCTTATTTTCAGCCCTGTGAAGTAGGTTAGGCTAAGAAGTTGTGGTTGGCCCAAGGTCACCCAGTGAGTATCGTGGGTGAACTGGGATTAGCCTTTTCCTGTATGGAAGGAAAATTCCATGTAGGAAACTGGCAATGGCTGAAGCAGTCCAGAATGGCCTGTCGTTAAAGCCCTGACAATTCTGTGCCTCTCCTACTGTTTTAAGCAATTTGGCTCTGGGAGGTGAAAATAGATGGGTTACTTTCACATTTTCACTTCACCTTCATATGCCAGTGATCTCACACCAATCTAGAGCTGTTATATTTGGGTTCCCACTTCAGGAGAACATTGTATATTCTTGAAAGATGCTTCTCTTACGTGGTTATCTTTTGTTGTGAGCATCAACAAGACACTGGCTTGGGTCCAAAGTTCCTGCTGCGCAAGCAACCCCCCTCCCAGCTCCCCTCTGTTCCACCCACTTCCACTTGCACAGAAGGAATTGCTTGTTTCCTAGTTTTCCTCCATCTGTTGCCCTCTTAAATCTGCAAACTGGCTCTAGAAAGTCAGGGAACCCTCTGAACATGAATACCCAAGTCCTATAGGGAGGGTCAAGCTGGTTGTCAACAAGAATCTTCAACAGTAATGCCAACAAGCTGTGAAGGAAGCGTAAGAAATTCATGTGGAGATGTAGCAGAAGATTCTGTGCATGTCTGTGAGAGGGAAAAGTAATTGAAAAGCCTGTGGGTGGAAAAGCTGGAAGTGAATTCTGCTCTTGATACTGTTCAAAACTGAATTACTATTTTCCCACTCAAATTTATTATTGAAACTCACTTGTTTGTCATGTCTCTATTACAACTCTTTTGGATGACCATCTGATCAGTTATATATACATGAAATTTACAAACCAGTGGACACTTAATGTACATTGAAACATTCAGGTGCCTTTTTGTTTTTGTTTTGATTTTTAATAAGTTGCAAGCAACAAACAGCATTGCTTTTTACAATGGAAGGGCATGGTATGAATGCTCTTGTGAACATCGGGGGAGGGAGGGAATTGCTAATACACAGTCACATATGCATGAGCAAGAAGTGCCTTTTACTTGTGCAGTAGGATGTTTGGATCCAAGCCAATGCTAAATCTTTCTAAAGCCCAGCATGAATTTGGCATCAAAGAAGTACAAGCAAATAACCTGAACCAGACTATAGATTTACAAGCTATCTAGATGTGGATGCATGCACAGCTTTGCCTTACAATTTAATTTAGAGATAATGTGATATTTGGGGATGGGGGAGTGAATAAAGGCTAGAGACTGGAAGACAGATAATAGTTCTCAAGTTACTGCTGTTTCTTGTTACAGGCTGCCTGAAGCTGCATTCAATGTGGAGTTTCTAATCCCAAATGCTCCCAATTCAAAATGCTTCCAGGTTGCTTCTGGATGGGTGTTTATTGTGTGGTCAGCACCACTTGGAGATTTTGTTACATTAAGAGGCATATAAGTTATTAAAATGCAAAATAAAGTATGCTTATGCATGCAAGATTTTTGCAGTCTACACACAACATCAGATGCATAAAAATGGCTGTCAGTCTCCTGTCCCACCCCGTCACATTTAAACAAGAAATCTGTTAATTTTTTTTAAATAAAACAGCTGCTGCCAATGAACCATTTGTGATATCTGAACAACCGGCATGTGACATTAAGCCTCTATTTAGAAACACCCCTAGTCCTTGATCATTTGCTCATGTCCGGCCACAAATTAATGTTGAATGCATTCTGAGCTTTTGCTAAACAATCCAGCACCTGTTGATTTCCAGAGCAGTTCTTTTGCACAGCAAACTCCAGAAAGGAGAACCAATGAATTCAATCACAACTATATAACCACAGCACCCTCATTTCTTTCCCAGTTATTGTTCCTTGGCACCATCAGCTAAGAAGTCTGACTGTAACCATGTTTAGAAGTTCATGTACTTTGCTGCTGCTACTAAATGGTAATACTGCTGCCATCTGGGACTTTGGGCTGTATCCAATGCAGCACAGGTGGACCTCTCCTCTCCTCTTCCTGTACACCCCAAAAATATACTCCAGAGGGTTCCCCAACCCTCTGAAGTAGATGCTGAGGGTGCCTATGGGGCTGCAGGGGAGAGGAAAGGAAAGTCCTGCTGCAGGAGACGAATGGCTCGCCCACACTTCCATTTGATTGGTAACTTCTAGGCTTTCCTGGGAGAAAATGGCAGGATGAAAGAAAAACCTAATGGATCCATGCCTACATGCCACACACTAAATGGAAGAAATCATGGGACAAAGGGAAGTGTGGATGAGCCTGAAGTCAACTTCGCAAACAAAACAGCAGCACTGGACACAACTCTTTGTTCTTATAGTCCAGCATGTTGCATACATGGAATTTTTTGCACCATTGCATCTGATGTGCAGTCATACAAATAAGAAAACAGGCCATGCTGTCTGGCTCCAGGAAACTCCTATCTGTTCCCACACTTTCAGTTATGGATATGCTATGGAGGCGCTGTGGAACAAAAAAGGCTTCACTTGATTTTGCCCAGGAATGTAGGCAAGGAGGCTGCCTGTGCTCCCTCCCTCCCTCCCTTGCCAGAGCAATGCAAGGGCAGAGTGGCAAGAGGAATGCACAGTCCTGCCAAGGACACCTGCTGGTGCTGAGCCCTGGTGATCCCCTTATCTGGACCCTGTGAACTGCTGCACTGAAGCACAGCATCGTCCTGGGAGCTTCAGCAAAACGTCTAATGCAAGTCTGCACAACCACCAAGCCAAGCGTAGCTATGGAAATTGGCCCACTGAAGACTCCACATTCCATTTTTGACTGCTAGTTTGGGAGTTCAAAACAGGGGTTTTATATCAAGCACCTGGCAGGCTAAATTACATGGCCACGTTTCACTTATGGTGTCACAAGTTAGACAGGCCTCACTTAAAGAATCTTATATGGATGGGAATTGCTACTCTTCACCTCCACAAACACCCCACCTGCCCCCGGCTGGCCTTCCATCCCACCTGTAGCTTACAGGCTTGGCTTTTGCTTTCTGCTGCTTCTCTGGGGAAATAAGGTAGTTTCTCAGCCTTCACGAAAGATAGGCAAAACAGGAGGTGAAAATCAGGACTGGTGATATCTGCAGAAAATGTGAACAGCACAGAAGTGAAATAATGCAGAGCAGACCAGTTTGGAAGAGAGTAGATTCAACAACTTCATCTGGCACAGAAAGCAGCAGTTCATCTTTTGACAGGTGCTGAGAGGGCATATAACACCACTTCTCACATCCATTTGGACTGGTTTTTGTTTTGCTTCTGGGCATGGTTCAAGGTGCTGGTGGTTCTTTAGACACTCAGCCTGGTATAACTGAGGAAACAGCCTCTTCCCTATGAGCCTTCTCACCCACTGAGGTCATCAGAAGGTTATCTTATTGATGCCTCCTCTACATTAGAGCTGAGATTAACAGGAGCACAGAGAAAAATAGTAGTAGTAGTAGTAGTAAATAATTCTATGATTATTATTTTTTACTAATCATTAGATTTATATCCTGCCCTTTCTCCCAAAGAAGTCAAGGGCAGCAAATACACAAACAATAAAACCATCTTAAAAACCATTCCAATACAGATGCAGTCTGGGAAAGATCTTTACTTAAAATGCTTGTTGAAAGAAGGACGTCTTCAGCAGGCCCAGCTAAGGACTCTGGTCTGGCACCATTTCTCTACATTTTCAGGAGTACAGAGAAGGCCTACCCTATATCATCAGGCTTCCAGTTACGGCTACTTGTTGTTCTTGGCTGGCACTAGCAAGTAAGCATGGAGGTTGTTTTGTTTCCTTTAGAACAATCAGGGCTGGCCCAAGACATTTTGTGGCCTGAGGCAAAAGACAAGATGACGCCAACCAGCTGAATCTTACTTCAACAATGGGCATAGGTAGGGATAGGGGAGAAATCAGTCTCTTTTCACATTCAAAGGCAAACATACCAAATTCACCAGTTTCCGAAAAAATATGGGAACTGAAATCAGCCATCCTTTGAAATTTGCAGTTCTTTGAATTTTGCAATGCAGTTCTCCAGTCAACTAATATGTACAAAAATGAATATACTGGGGTAAAGTGTGTATACAAATGCATGTATTAGTGGGGGGGGGGAATACCAATTGTATCATATAAGAGGAAAGTGCTTTGCAGAAATGAGTATACTAGCAACACTGCACAGAAAAATGTGTAGTTTAGGAGACATTCACACTAAAATGCTGATGAATTCTTGTTAATTGAAATAAAACCACAAACTGAAGTAGAACTATGGGAGAATTGAACTTAATATTGGGAAAATGAGGCCTCCATTGTGCCTGTGGGCAGAAGCCTAACTTAATGGTGCAAGTCTGTTTCAGGGGCAGACGCCAGCCACATGGCACAAACAGCTCTGTCCTCCAATACCACATTCCCTGCTCACTCACCGCTCAGCCTGGCACCTGCTTGCTCAGACAACTGCTGCAGTGCAGCAGGGACAGCACACGTCATGGGAACAGAGAAACGGTTGTGATGCCTGCAGGAGGGCCTGGCCTGTTCTAGCTGCCTCTCTGCTTGCTCATTCAGTCAAGGGCTTTTCCCAACAGCACTGCCTGTGATGAGCTGGGAGGAGACAACTAGGAGAGACCACTAGCTCATCTAGTCCACCAGCAAGCAAGCACTGCCACTGCCAGGGACTCAACTCAGGAAGATGGGAGCAGGCAGGAGTAACTGCACCTAGGCAAGAGTGACCACTGCTCTCCAGTATCCACACCTTATGGTGGATTTTTAGTTTCAAGACTAATTTTAAGATTTGTTTTTAAAATCAATCAAATCTGCTTACTTTCAGATTATTTTTTGCTGTAAAATAGAAGTAGTGTTGAGTTTATACTCTGTGTATCTTTCTGGCAGCTAGTGGGTAGGCCAGTTTGGGAGGTTGCTTCTTTCATTTGCAATAAATACTTTTGCTCTGGGGATGTGTGAGGAACATCACTAATCTAGTACTTTTATTTCTGCCTGGTGCCAGCAGCTGGCCAGGTTGGGCCCTGGTTAAGGACCCTAGGAGGTTGGAAGGGCCCCTCACCTGCCTGATCACATCATCACCCCAGCCACCCACAGATGCTTTTGAGTGGGAAATGGCAGTGCTGCTTTTGAATGGGAGCCAAACTTAGCTCCCATCTGTGGTGGCTGCCTGCCATTTTAACTTACCCAAACTGTAATGTCTCCGACCATAGATCTATGAAATGCATCAATTTCCGGGTAGCTGGGGCACTGCATTTTGAGTAATTCATAATGGTGGGTGGCACTATGGATGGGAGCCAACCATGGGTTCCTATTCAAAAGTGCTGCCACCTGCCACGGCTGAAATGTATCCAAGGGCCCAGTGTTCAGAAGTGGTGGTGACAGAGAAAGTTCATGGCAGCTGCCACTGCAGCCACCATAATCAGAACTGGGTCCTGCCCCTAGTTCGGATGTATGTGTTGGGGGCTCGTAATCGGCACTGTGCCAAAGGCTTCCCAAAGTCTGGCGCCTGCCCTGCTTTAACTGCTGACTGCTAGTGCATTGTGTAGTCAAAAGGTGCTTGTCTATATACCCTACATACCCTAATCCTGTGAAAATATTGAATGTCTCCAGAGGCTGCCAAAGATTGTGAAAATTCCTGGAATCACAGAACATGCAAGGCTATGATCTAGCAGGCGTACGGAGCTGATGCAAGAGCGGAGGGGCGACAGCTCTTTTGGGCTGATTACTGTAGTAAAGAGCAACTCCTAAAATAGAAACGGAATTAAAGCACACACACAAAAGAGGATGAGGGCCTCACTTATTTTGTCCCAGAATCATCTCCTCTGAACAGCTTGCGGTGCCAAGCGGCCTCCCTGGAAGATTCTGGTAGAAAAGATGGCTTTATAACATATAAGAAGAGGCAAAGATACTCAGCAGCTGTAACAAAACAGTCTCAAAGCCCATTTTCCTAGACTGATATAAGAGAAGTTCCTCTGAAGATGCCTGGAGTGAGTTCTTAGTTCTCCCAAGAGAAGAAACAGAAGCCTTATCAACTGTGTCATCTAAAAGTGGACTGGACAAAGCCCTAGAATAATATCCTGTAGTAAACAACCCTGTCTTGACTCCCAGGAGATTGACAGCATGAGAGCTTTAGTCGCTCTTTTAATTCCATATCCTAAAAATAGCAAAAAGCCCTGTAAACTTCAAGCCAGGAACCAACTTTAAGAACTATGGAAGAGCTGAGTAGGGCTAGAAAAAGGAAGATACGCTATGAAATCACAAGGTTTGGGTTTCTGTTGTTGTTGTTGTAGCAGGGCCAAGGTAATGAATCACAGAAATGAAGAATAATACACTGACCACTCAGGCAAATGAGTAATATTCCCTAGAATGCTGGATAAAAAAATATTTTTAAAAACCCAAATCCATTTCTCACAGCAGTGAATTCTAAACACTACAAGTAAAAACCAAAACCAAACCAGTGCTCATTTTATATTACAGAATCTGCATAATTATATATATAAATGTAGCTTAATTTGGAAACAACATTTTAACACTTGTATGGCACATTTAGATGGTCAGAGCACTTCATACACATTATATACTCATAATTCTTACAACCACCCTGTATGGTAAATCAGTATTGTTATTTCCCATACTGCAGAAGGGGAGACTGAGACTTAAAGAGAATGACTTTGCTCCATAGGGAAAAGGCCAACTAGTGAGTTGGCAGAATTGAGATTTGTACCAGAAACCACCTGATTTGCAGCTGAGTCACTTAGCCACTAGGCTGCACTACCTTGATACCAGTATATGACTGATGCGCCAGAGGACAGGAGTTCTGTATAGGGTGGTGGTGATTAGGTACAGAGCAATGGGGGCGAGTGCTGAAATATCATGCCTGACCCGCCTATGAAGGCTGTTTTAGAGTTGAAGCATTTATAGCAGCTGCGAAACAGAAGCTTCTTTGAATTGGTCCATGAGTAGGTTGCCATTACGTCCTAGTAGGAGCCATTCAAGAACAGCTGCTCACCATGTGAGTCTAAAGATGCTTACAAGCAGCTAAACCAAAAACACAGAAGGTCTGCATAGGGAACTGCATTATGACCCATTATGATGCCATGTGAAGTAATATGAGGCAAAATTCATGCACTGGCCTTGATGCTTCTGCTGGTGTTTTGAAAAGTATGTGTGTTCTTATTTAGCATTGCGATTATTCTGCAACAGTCACTGGTATCTTCTTCAAGAGTTTCCCATGACAGTCATCCTATGTTACTAATTCAAAATGCTGCTTAATAATTCAGACTGCAGTTGTGCTTGTTGTCCTGCTTGTGGGTTTCCCAAAGGCATTTGACTGGTGACTTTGAGAATAGGATGCTGGGCTAGATGGGCCTTTGGTCTGAACCAATGGAGCTCCTCTTGCATTCCAAGACAATGGAACTCTTCCATGAAGGTTGAAAATCAGTCATAGAAAATTGCATGATTAATGCATAGTTAGAATATTCTGACCATGAGCCCCTAGGTAAGACACAGGTGGGGGCCAATAGGACTCAGTTGCTGCATTTGTCTGATCCCTATCATGGACAAGTGCTGTGGATGCATATTCTCCTCTCACCTCTTTCCTCCCCATCTCCTGTTTTACTTTGGCACAATAATCTTGACTTGCATTAAACCTGAGTTCTCAAACCATGCAACAGAAGGGATGAAGGGGTCAGGGAAGACTGCATGTCCATACCCATCTTTCACAGCTTCATTAACCATAAAAATCGACAATCGTACAAATGTGGCTATTGGATAGACATTATGGCAGATGTTTATATTCTTCCTAGTATGATGCTCATTCTTACATGACAAAGAGTAATCTTGTCAATATTTAATAGCCCTTTTGCTACACGTGGTTTGAAAACGTTGAGCATGGAAATGTACTGTCAGAAGTGATCTGCTCTTTGTTACCTTCCGGCTCTAAATAGAAGTTATTAGTCACGGTTCAAACTTGAAGCATGGCTCAAATCTCAGGTTTCCTCTTGCCTGACATAACACCTAGAATGAAATGACAAGGATCCTGTGTGATGAAGCCAAAGGCCTAGATAAACTGTGCAACGAATTCTGCACACACCCCGAGAGAGGTTTGAACTTACATTTATACTTTTATGTTTATATCCCATCTTTCCTCCAAGCTTCTCAAGGTGGTGTATACAGCACCTTTCCCTCTCCCATTTTGTACTCACAACAATTATGTGAGGTAGGTTAGGCTGAGAGATGTAGATTGTCCCAAGGTCACTCAATGAGCTGCATGGCTGAGGGGGGATTTGAACCCTGATCTCTCTCAGGTCCTAAGGATGCGGGTGGCGCTGTGGGTTAAACCACAGAGCCTAGAACTTGCTGATCAGAAGGTCGGCGGTTCGAATCTCCGCGACGGGGTGAGCTCCCGTTGCTCAGTCCCTGCTCCTGCCAACCTAGCAGTTCGAAAGCACGTCAAAATGCAAGTAGGTAAATAGGTACCGCTTCGGTGGGAAGGTAAACGGCGTTTCCGTGCGCTGCTCTGGTTTGTCAGAAGAGGCTTAGTCATGCTGGCCACAGGACCCGGAAGCTGTACGCCAGCTCCCTCGGCCAATAAAGCAAGATGAGCGCCGCAACCCCAGAGTCAGCCACGACTGGACCTAATGGCCAGGAGTCCCTTTACCTTTACTCTCTCAGGTCCTAGTCCAAAACAGAGCACCCTCTGTGCCCTGACCCCACCCCTACCCACGAGCACCTGCCCCCATCCTGGGTGCCAGAAAACAGTGCCACACCCCTGGCTGGATCCAACATTTTTAGGAGTGCATTTGGAGCTGACTGTCCACACCTTTGGTCACATGTCACTGTTACTAGAGACAGTGACTGGAGGGTTCTCCTTTCCACACTAATGGTAGAGGGCACAGTCAAATTGAGAAAAGCTCCATGAGTGTAGTCATAGCCCTTATATACTCTCATTCCTCCAGCCCAGGCTTCCTCAACCTCGGCCCTCCAGATGTTTTGAGACTACAATTCCCATCATCCCTGACCACTGGTCCTGCTAGCTAGGGATCATGGGAGTTGTAGGCCAAAAACATCTGGAGGGCCAAGGTTGAGGAAGCCTGCTCCAGCCAGTAAATGTTATGAGCATGCAAATGGGGATAGCCCTTTGTAGGGGGGATATAATGCATAGGATTCTAGAATTCTAATATTGAGGGAGCCTAGAAGATTAGAAGAGGTTAGACAAGAAGGATTACAGGTGTCTGTCTGAGCTATGGCTTATCCCAGAACTCCCATTGCTGCCTGCCATTTTTCCCTCCAAACAGCACCCAGCCCAAATTGGCAGCTTGCCCTGGTCAAGGTGCAACAGTACAACAGACGCCTCCCAAACCACACCTACCAATCCCCAACCCTTCCACATAGAAAGCACATTCCACACAAATGAAAATATTGACAATGCATTCCAGATCTTTCACAAATGTTGAGGGTTTTTTGCAGTAAAGGAAAAAGGTGTTGTTGGTTTTAGTATATTGTTCCGGAACAGCAGATGAATCATGGCAACAACATGTGGAAGAATGCCGAACAAATCCCCCCAAAAGCCAGCAATTATGCCCCTATAAAAGGTAAGTGCAGAAAGACCCTCCACTAAGGACTCCAGCATACAAGGAACTTTGCATTGCTTTGTATTTATAAGAACACCAGATGGGTGTTTTAAATGGGAAGGCCACCAGAAAGTCCTTGCCTATGCAGTAACTTCTAAAAAACAGAAGCAATAACATTTAAATGTTCCTTAGTTTGTGTGTTGCTCAATGACACACGAAGTATGAATGCCAACATCATCACTGCCAAGGACATGCCAGAGCTGGTGCACATACTCTGAATGTGATTGAGAGATGCACAGTTTAAAAAACCCATTAAAAAAACCTCTCGTTTCTGGAAGAGCTGATAATGGGATTAGTTTCAATGTGCCCACCTTGTGTTTGAGTTCTGGCAAAAAAAAAAGTTCGTTTTGAAACAGAGTGGAGTACTGGCCATCAGTTTTTCCAGCTATCTTAGAGTTGTTGTTGCTTTCCAGTCTAGTGATAGGAGTTAATCAGGATGTAGTTGAGGATTAAAGTTTCACTGAAAAAACATCTTTCATATGGGCTTCATGACCACCATTTCAACTGTAAGTGTCCACACCTTCCACCTTGTATCATTTCAGATATAGTGTACACATTGTCCATACACTTACCTGATTTTTTAGTCAACATCAGAAATTAGGTAATCTAAACCCTTTCCCACACTAACCCAGTCATCATTTCATTAGTGCTAAATTAGCAATTCCATTCTGGTCATGCCTTTGATCTGGAGGTCAATTTTTGACAATCTGCCCAAGGAGACAAAGGGCACCAATAGGATTCCATTATTTTCTGAAAATGTACACAGTTCAGCCAACAGACTACTTTGTTATCTCTCTAAGTATTGTAATAACCTATTCATCAAAAGCATTGGAGTGATTCTAGGCTTTAGGATACACCTGGATTTTTAGAAGGTAGCTTTTGTTTCAAGATAATCCCTGCCCATTTCTATTTCTGCAGAGATAGTGGCTTTCAGTCTCAGACACAGAGTATGCATAGATGCTCATTTCTTTATAACTATAATATTGAAATGCAAGCTATTTGGAACTACCCTTACAGACAGTAGTGGTGGTAGTAGTAGTAGTAGTAGTAGTAGTAGTAGCGAGGAGGAGGAGGGTGGTTTTATTTATACCCCATGTACCTGTCTGGATTTCCCAGCCACTTTGGGTGGCTTATAGCACATTAAAAATTTGTAAAACATTAGATATAAAAAAATTTCCTGATACAGAGTTGCTTTTAGATGTTTTCTAAAAGTCAGGTAGACAATTTGGAAGCTACAGCTGGTACCAACTACAGCAGCTCAGATCATGAAAGACATCAACTCAGAAGGAACAACATTTCAGCATTAGCTTCCAGGCTGTTTTAAGATGCTTTACCTACAATGCCCTTGGAAACTGCTGAATTTAAAAACAAACTCATGCTGTATTACAGGAGTTAAGTTGGGATGGAACACTCTTGCTAATGGGACAAAAAATGCAGTGTGTTCTACAGAGGGTTAATATATCTCAAACTCTATGCCAGCCTGGAACCATCTTTTCCCATTCTACTGAACTTCAGGAAGTGATGCAAAACACAATTCTTGGGGGGTTAGGGTTGCTTCACGCTCATGCCCCTCCTAACATTGCAGGGTAGGAACGTTTTGCAGTCATGTCTACTGAGAAGAAAGACACAGTTTCTCTAAGGATCTGCAAAGTGTCCAGCAACTTTCTAATAAACCAACTGTTGTATGAAGTCTTCCAGTGTTGTGACAGTAGTAACAAAGCTCTCTTGTTAGAGCAATTCCATCTCTTGAACTTGCCCCATAGAGTATATCTTGTGTGTCTGAGGTTTTAATTCTTGTGGATGGGAACATTTGGTCTGTCAAACAGCTTTTAATTAACAACCACTGCATTTAGAGGGAAAAGCCTCTAAAGGGTCAGTGTACCTAGGAACAGAAAGCTAGGTGGCTTTCCTGAGCTGTCTGTTTAGTTCCTTTCCCCCTTTTCTTGTTTGCTTCTTTTGTATCCAGAAATGTATTTTGTTGTTAAGTAAAATATCCAGTTTAAAGTTTATTGCCATGCCAGTCTTCAGCATGGTGAGATGAAACCTGCTCTGTAATAAATTATTCATTGTGTGCACGAACTAGTCAAAGTTATAATGTACTTAAGTTCCATTGATCTCATGGAAGAGATTTAAGTCAGTGCTCAAATATTCTGTTAAAACCACTTTAAAAGTGGTTGGACTATGCCCTGGACATATGTATATATTCTATGTGCCATCTGAAACCTTTGAACAGTGGGCCTTACAATTTTCCAATCTTTGAAGAGAAACAATAGCTGAAATAGAACAAAACCTCATTTTAAAAAAAACCCCATGCAAATTAGAAAGACAACTTAGCTCATGTTACGTTTAAGGATGACCAAAGAATTCATGAATTTTCCTAAGGAAGTGGTTGTTACGGATATCAGATACCATGCCAATCACTTAATCAGGTACCTTATCCATTTCTTACTGTCACCTCTGCAAAGCTGAACACATAATAAAGATAACTAAAAAGTTTTGTCATTCCTGTATAGATTCTAAATGTCACAGCTCAGTTTATAAAATTTGCTTTTGCTTCTTGCAGGTATACACAGCATACATTTTTGCATGATTCACATTTGTGGCCACACAGCAAATGCATGGAATCCTTCCATGCGTGGAAAAAAGGCTCCCCTCCTTTTTTCTATGTGGTCTCTAAGCATTTCTGTGTCGGTATCAAGCCACTTTTACAGATTGCAGGCTTTCTGCTTACAGAAACACTTTTGTCTGTGTGCATATTCATTGGCAATTATCCATGCAAATTAGGTGTGGAATTATCTAACGTTTTGATAACCTGGTGCAGCATCAACAAGGAAAAACATGGGCTATTATATAGACATGGCCACATACTGCAGTGATGCTGTTTCTGGAACAAAACACTGCATTTGGATGAGTCATCCACAACAATTCCACCCTAACCCACAGTGCCAGTGAGCACCCACTCATGCTGTTTTGTGTTGAATGGCAGAATGAGATTGCTTAGAAGCTAACTTCTGACACAGTGTTGTGTTATACAGTAAAATATTTATAAATGTCTAAGAAGTGGGGAGTTTGATGGAATAAATCAGACAAGGAGGATATCTGGGGATATCAACAAAGAGGAACCGGAGAGGTGAAGAGAGTGGGGTGGAAGCTGAGCTGTGAACACTATAGGAGTTGTGTTTGTGTAGAACTCTGAAATATTAATCATCTTGGACATTACAGTGTGAAAAGGACACTCCAAATCATTGGTATAATACACTGCTGTAAAGGCTAGTTATCTGTAAAATATTCAAGGTCTCATCATAAGCTGGCCCCCACTTTCCCCAAGTGGTAAGAAAACAGGGGCCGTGATCCAGTTTCCTCTCCTATGGATGAGAGAGCACTGGAGGCTTATGGAGTCTTTATGACCCATTGGAAGCAATTAAGTAAACTCCTAAAGCCAGGCAACATGAATACCAATCTTGCTTCAGATTTGCAGGGCAACTGCTTGCCCCCACAATAATGCTTCAGTTTTGGTCAGCTCCAGCTAAAACTCTCTGTTAGCTTCTAGGTTCAAAGTGCAGGGTTTGACCAATAAAGGCTTATGTTACTGATGACCCCAGTACCTCAAGGATCTACAGCCTGGACTCTGTGGTCCTTATTTTATTTCTTTATTAAATTTGTATACTGCCCTTTATCCAAAGATCACAGGACAGTTCACAACATAAACGTACAAAATGAGAACAGGAAATACATAATAAAAACAGAAACGAAAACAAACCAATAACACCCCCTCACAAAAACATTTAAAAGGACATAGAATGTTAATCAGCCAAAGGCCTAGATAAAGAAAAACATGGTGATGGCACCTTCACCAGAAGCCTATAGCCACGTGCCTCAGCTGAGGCTGGTATGAAGGGGATCTACACAATAATGGGCTTTTGCTTTGCCCATGGAAGGCTCTCCTCATAGAAGCACACTCGGCATCACCTCTGTCAGTACTTAAGTGCCAGGTTAATATATTTTTATTTACCAAGGCCTTTGGTAGTTAAGCTAGTCTCCACTCTAGTGCTCATCTTTTGGTGGGGTGGTGGTTGGACTAATCCTTTTTATTGTATTGCTGGATGAGAATTTTATATTGCATGCTGCTTTAAAATTTACTTTTAATTGATTTTATCTGCTTGTATTTTATTCTGTTGTTAAATTGCTTTGAAGCTAACAAATGCAATCAAATGTAAACAAGGCAGCAGAACTCATAATGATATAATTTTTTTAGCAGTAGCTTTGGATTTGGTATCTGATATCTTTTTAAAACACATTTAACCACAATTATCTGATATGGGAACTTCAGGGTGATTATTTATATTCTATATTTGACTTATTCCACGTTAATAATTGTATAAATGTGACTAAAGGCTAAAATAATTCCAGCACTAATAAACAGCTAGTTCCTGTTTCCGATTCCTTGAACATATACTAGGATTTTTAAAAAGAACACCAGCACAGCCATTGCCATGTCACACAATGCATGCATCCTTGTACAGGAGTGAGAGGCCCTTATATACTAAATGCAATGAAGAAACCGGCCCTGAGAGATTCTAGCCATGGGTCCCCCCATGGAGCCAACTCCTAGGGGCAGGGTCCCTTCATGCCCCCCCATAAAAATCTCCCTCAAAGTTGATGGGCATTGCCATTCAAATAGTATGTGTGATCGTATCATGTATCATGTGATCGATTATGTGGGGTGGGACTTACCTGCCCTCCCCCAATATTTTATTCAAGTTGGCACCCCTGGTCCCCACTAGTGAAGCTCCTGTGCCTTTCATTCTTCACCACCAGAGCACTGTATCCACTGAAAGTCTAGTAGAGTGAGCTCTGAGGTTCAAGGGCACTATCTAGACTGCAGTGCCAACCCGACAAAGAATTCAGTCAGCTGACCCCATGGCCAATTCTTCAGTCCACTGGCTTGGTGTTATAAAAAGCCAGAGTTTCTGTCTATGTCTCTACAACTTTGCATCATAGAATTGTAGAGCTGGAAGGGACCCTGAGGATCACCTACTCCAACTCCTTGCAATGCAGGAATATGCAGCTATCCCATATGGGGATAGAACCTACCACCTTGGCATTACCAGCACCACGCTCTAAGCAACTGAGCCATCCACTTGTCTCTGGTGTAAGGATGCTTTTAACTGCTGTCTGGTTTAAACTACTACACACCTGACTGGCTGCTGTGGTCCTTGCTTGTTGCTCTTTAACTTAACTCCTGGCTGGCTCCTACATACATACTTCTGGCCCACTTGGCTGCCAGCCAGCTCCTAGAGCCCAATTGCCTACAACTGGTATAGGGGATCTGTGGCTCTCCAGGCAATGCTGGACTACAACTCCCATCATCCATGACTATTGGTCATGCTGGCTGAGGCTGATGGGCACAGAGTCCAAGTACAAGTGGAGGGCCACAGGCTCCTTAGCCCAGAGCCTGTCTCTTACTGAGGCTTAACAGAGGAAAAGAGAAGTTAGATGGAAAGGTTCATTTGTTCTCTCTGTACAGTGCTGGGGCAGCTTGCCAGTTAATGAACTGCAGACAATCACATGTAATCAATGGGTTTTGTAGCCTCACACATATACAATTAATCAACCAGAAAACTCACAGACACTGGTGACAACAAATATCTAGTCAAGAGGCTATTCAACCTGCCCCCGCCTTATGCATTTGAATTGCAACTACAACTTGAGTTTTTGGAGGCGGAAGAGAGTTATGAAGCAAAGGCATGGCCTTTGAATTTTGAAATCTTGATAGGTTTCAGCTGTTTTCTATTAGATTGAGAACATGGAATCAACTCAAAATTTCTGTAGCTTTGTGTGTCAGTGTTAGCTTGATTTGCGTGTAGGGGCAGGCCATGGGCACGTTCTCTATGGAACCCCCTCCTTGCCACTGTCACCACTCCCATTTGCTTGCCCAATCTGATTTAATGGGCCAAAGCCGCACCAGACTGCCTGGCTGAGGATAAAGGAAGTGGAAGCTCCTTACCTTTGCTCTTGCCAGTTTGCCCACTTGGAGAGGGTGAAGGAGCAGGCAGCATCTGTGAGGAAAAGGCACAGAGAGGCAGAGAGTTATGAGATTCAGCAGTGTGCCCCCTGCTGGCCCCCATGTGCCATTCCTGTACTGGTACTGGAATGCTAGGGAGGTTCAGTGGAAATGAACCTCATGGTGGTGAGGTTTAGGTCAGGATTGTTTACACTGGGATTATTTGTAGAGCAAAAAGAAAGCCCAGTGAATGATTGGTAATGTATGTGGATGTACATATGTCTGTGTATATGCATGACACACACACACACCAGGTTTTGTGTTTGAAGCATGGTGGAGAAAAGGGAATTACAAAAAAAAAATCTATGTAAGAAATGGGAAAGATCTGGAATAGTCAAAACTATATTGCAAGATACACAATACATCATAGACTTGTTAGGAGTCCAGAATTACTTTTTTTTGGGGGGGGGAATCCATACTTGGGTTGTGCTAAGTGAAGAATGTGCAGCAGGTGGGGAGCAGCACACAGCAGAGGAAGGCCTTGATGACTCTAGGCTCTTGTCTGCTGAGTTCACATATCAAAAGGAAGAAAAATCAATCCAGAAAAACCATTTACCAGGAGAGGAGTGGCTTTATTTAGGGAGGCAACTTCTATCCAGTCACATCAATTCCACTCTGCATGAGTTAGCTCTAGGAGGGGTTTTTTGGGGGGGCAGGGTCTGTCCATACAAGGCAATATACCACTGGAACATACACTTGTGTTGAAACACCACATGTTTTTTTCAAAACCTGCAGCACAATCTTAATACTGCTTGCATTGGACAGATGCCATGGAATGAGGCTTGAACTTCTGCTCAGAACCGCCTGAAACCAACTCAGTAAGAACATACATTTGCAACCATTCATTGTTACATGGTCTTCCGAAAATCATTTCACAAAATACAATCTGGCAGTACAAATATCCCTGAAGTGCCTTGTCATTTACAACTGTGCCATCCCTCAGAAAAAAAAACCCCCAGGGCATGCTAATTATGATGATGGTACAGCATAGTAGCTAAGAGTATATGCTGTGGGTAGGGAAGTATTCAGTTCAAATATCATTTCTGCTACTATCTCTGAGATGGAGACAGAGTCCCTCTCTGCAATGTGGGAATAATACTGTAATACTTATTTACCTAGCAGGGTTGTTGAAATGATAATCTTTTGTACTCAATGAAGTCACTGCATGAGCAGAACGTCTGCTTTCACAAGAGAACTCCCCTCCATCCTCCCATATACTCCTCCCCCCCCTCCTAATCTGTGTTGGGGATTCCCCCCAAACCTCCAGACAGATTAGGGGGCATGTGAGCATGTAGGAGGAGACTGAGGAGAAGTTCCATGGCACAAGCAGAACATCTGCTCACACAACCACATTGTTGGATTGGATGCAATGCATGACCAATTGTTTGAACACTTAAACAACTGGACACAACTCATTTATTATAGTAATGTTATTTATGAATAAATACGTGTATAAATTTGTGGATATTTATTCTGAGTCCAGAGAACACAGAGTTCCATAAGTGGATTTTCCTGCTGCCACTGTGCCAACTTGTTCTACCTCCAGAAAAACCACTTCTAGGTAAAAGGGTGTTGTGTACTTTGGAATGGCAGTGTTGTACAGGAGGATGCAGTGGGGATGGTGGGGTGTAAGTGGGGGAGCGGCAAGTATTAGAAATACTCCCCTTTGTATGTATAGAAGTAACTTCTACTGGTGGTAGGAGTTCCTTGGATTCAAGTCGGTATTCAAAAATTATTAGAATTATTTATTATTTGGAGCTTTCATGAGATGCTAGGATCTATTTTGTGGTGAGTGTCAGTACTGTGACATCACTGTTGTCCACAGCTGTGTTCATGTAGACAGCAATCAAGTGGTTGTATTAATCTCTCCCATGGTAATACACACTCCCCTTTCCCCCCAAAATGGCAACAGGGAACTCTGCATGCTAGCATGATCACATGGGATCTGTTGAGTGTACAAGTGCATCCATGACTGAAAATTCAGATCATGTAATCATTTATAAAGGGCTCCAGGAGTGAATCACTTGGGGCAAATCTTGTACTTGGAGTACAATGCTTAATGTGACAGAAGGGGGAGGATGGAAGACCAATGTCATAAACCTGTGTGTCCAAACTGGTCTCTGTCATTGCTCCTTATGGCAAGGCATGGCATTCAAATGACATTCCTGCAGCTGGTGCCTAGAAACTGCAGTGATTGCTGTTGCTAAGAAGCACTTTGAGCTGGAAAGCAATTATCCAAGCATGGTGTATTCATTTAAATAAATGGGATGGAATTCTTGGGAGCACACGACAGATTGCAGAAGGCCTCGTAGATGGAGCTGCTGGATAGGCCACCTTTTGCTGGTCACCCAGAGGACGGGAAATCACATGCCAAAGTGGAACTGGCTATTTGCATTAATGTAAAAGCATTAATCTGGTTATTTGCCAGTAAATCCCAATAGATGGTGGTAGGACATGCTTATGTGATCGTCAGCGCGCACACCTCTTAGTCGTATTGTTATGGTAAGAATCCAAACTACCTCTCTCCTACCTGGAGAGCTATAGACTTCATTTTACATCAAGCTCCTGCAGTTTAATACAATGGCATTATACAAGATGTCTACAATCCACGGCTTGATTTGAATGAGGAAAAGAGAGGGTGTCCAGCTGTGGCAATGTCAACTATTGCAACTTCAAGATTTCTTATTAAACTCTAGTTTGGCATTTTAACTCAATCCACTGCTGCTCAGCTTATTTTCCTTGCTCATCTGACAAGCTGAGTATACTGAGAAGGGATCAAGGGCACCTGCTCTTATGTATTCATATCTCATAAAAAACCCAGATAAACAGAGAGGTTAAAAGCAAAATAGTGATCTCAGCATTTGGGAGGGAGGGAGGTTGACACCAAAACAACACCACTTTCTCATTGAGAGATGTGTGTTTTTATTTTATTCAACAAAATTTATATACTGCTTGATTGTAAAAACAACAACCTCAAAGTAGTTTACAACATTGTAGAATAAGATATTAAAATTATTTACAAAAAGTTGAAAACAAGTATTAAAATATTTATACAAAATCAACACTAGCTAAAAGAAAAGGGAAAAAACCCCACGTTTCTATAGATCTGGATAGGCATGCCTCAACAAAAATGTTTCAAGCAGGTGCCAAAAGGAATACAGAGAAGGCAGCTGCCTGGTGTCAGCAGGCAAGCAGTTCCAAAGTGTGGGTACTGCCACACTAAAAGATTGATTTCTTACGTTTGTGGAATGAGCATTATGTGGCACTTGTAATAGTGCCAGTTTCGCAGATTGAAGCGCTCGAGTGGGCATACATGGGGCAAGGGGATTCTGCAAGTAAACTGGTCCCAAGCTGTTAGGGTTTTTAATATACTAACAGCAGCACCTTGAGCCTGGTCCAGCAGGTCTTTACCTCACTATGTTCTTGACATCATGGGTACTGCTATTATTTCTATAACACTTTTAAAAGAAATCTAGTTCAAGTTCTGTCTATCAAGTAGTAACACTAGGAAAAGGGATGCACAAAACCCCAGATGCATCTAGTTAGTTCAGTGGGGAAACACGGATGCACATCTAGGTGTGAATTTGCATAATCTACAGAAACCTCCTTTTCCACATGGGTCCCCCAGCTGGATTGAAATAACCACAACAATCCAGGTTATTTACATGCAGCAATCCAGGTTATTTACATGCACACTTTACAGATGGAAAGCTGATGGATGAAGGGAGTGCTGCTTGCCCAATAAGATATAGCCACAGAGGTTATAACTAAGCAGGTGTTTAAACCCAAGTCATCCGCAAAGCAGCATTTGACTGTCACATAATTGTGTGTCTGATTTTGTAACTAACAAGGCTTTCTTGATTATCCCAGTAAAGTGAAATAATTTGTGTTTAAGAGAAAATTCACCTTAAGGGGAAATTTGCTAATTACATTTCAAAATATGTGTCGTATGACTAAACATACCTATGCTGTTTTTATGCCTATTATGTTAATTGCATATGAATATCTAGAAGTCAGAAAATTAGTAATATAATACTTTTTATTAGGTTCAACTTATTCTCATTATACATATGGTTGAAGTGGTTAGAACATGAGACTAGGTTGTTGGAGACCAGGGTTCATATTGCCACCTAGCCACACAGCTCACTGGGTAACCTTTGGCCAGTTAAGAGCTCTCAGCCTAACCTATATTATAGGGCTGTTGTGAGGATAAAATAGGAAAGGGAAAAACAATGTCTGCCAACTGGAGTTCCTTGGAGGAAAGGTGGGATATAAACGTACTAAAAAGCACACAAAACAAGCATGCTGAATTAATGATTAGACTTATTCATTATTCATTACATTAGATTTAGACATGTATAATATTCAAATTTACCTGCAGATAACAAACTCTTGATAAGTTTCCAGGATGGTTGCATCATCTGGGTTAAAAGAGGGCAGCCACTTCAAACTAAAAGGTCTTTATCATCTAATTCACAAGTACAGTGCTTAAGTATTTATATTATGGTTACCGTATTTTTCGCTCTATAAGACGCACCAGACCACAAGACTCACCTAGTTTTTGGAGGAGGAAAACAAGAAAAGAAATATTCTGAATCTCAGAAGTCAGAACAGCAAGAGGGATCGCTGCGCAGTTAAAGCAGCAATCCCTCTTGCTGTTCTTGCTTCTGGGATAGCTGCGCAGCCTGCATTCGCTCCATAAGACGCACACACATTTTCCCTTACTTTTTAGGAGGGAAAAAGTGAGTCTTATAGAGCAAAAAATACAGTAAATCATTTATTGTTCCTGTCTTTCTGCAGCAGAAAATGAACTCATGGCTCAGACTGTGTCCATATGATAGTTAATTCCTGTTTTTCATGTTCCTGGTTTGGTGAAGCAGCACTCAACTGGGATTTTGGAAGATCATTTCTAGGACAATACCATAGGAGCCAACTCCTAGGGGCTGAAGCCCCTTCAACCTCCTACAAAATATTTGAGGGGGCTGAGCCAAAGTTGATGGACTTGTCATTCAAATGTGCCCCCCCTCCAATATTTTATTCAAGTTGGCATCTCTGTACAAGACTACCATATGCTGAAACACCATGTCAGTGTGGTTCTTCTGCAGCATCTTTGGATGTACTGAAATTAGGTGGATGTGAAAGATGAGATTTCGATAAAAACATTTAAAAATTTGTTGGATCTGGTCAAAGCTCCATCTAGTCTTGTACACTTGCCCCACCAGCTGATCCCAAACTGAGCTGTGATGGATCCAGCCATCCTCTGCTATTTGCATTCAGCACAGCCTCTGAACATACCCATGATTCCTGACAATAGAACCAATTCATAGTCCTATCCAGGAAATGTTACTTTGAGGTAGGGATGTGGACTATTGAACCTACGTGAGCTCCTTAAATACTAAGGCATCCTATTCCTCATGTTCCACCTAGGCATGTCCAAAGTCTGTTTCAGGGGCCTAATCCGGCCTGCCAGTCAGTTTAATCCGGCCCCTGTGGCAGTTCATTTCCTGGGGTAAAATCCTTAAAAAGCTCAGCAACTTTGGTTGGCCCTCATGGCCCTTCACTTCATCAAATCTGGCCCTCTTTGAAAAAAGTTTGGACACCACTGTAACATATATAATAAAGCCATCATTCTTCAGAGGGAAAATACTCCTATGCGCTTCAGGATTACAAAACAAACAAACAAAAAGCCCTTGTGAAGAAAGCAGACTTTACAGAGTAATGTTATAGCCTCAGGGCAGTCTGTTTGCATATGGGGTGCACCTTGGAATCTTAATGCATGTGGATAGAAATAACATCAAAGACGAGAGCATCAAGGCATCCCTCACGGATGTCAGTGCACACAGAGATGGGATTGGAAGCAATCTGATATAGCTGTAATACAACATGGTTACAAAGAAGCCCTCTGATTATTCTTATAACTAGAGGCCAACAGCCAAATATTTGTTTGGTTATTTCAGCTTTGCAGCTTCAGGGCATGCTAGTTTTCTCTGCTGTCTCTCCCAGTTTTCCTACTCTCCTCTCCTCCTTCAGGCCTTCTACCCTTTTCATGTCATTTCTCTGGACTACTCCACATCACTCACCACCCTCAGCCTTTTGTCTTCTCCAGCCCATACCTTTAAGTCCCGGTTTCCTTGGCTTCTCCTTTTTACCCTTCTTTTCATTGGTCCTTCTGCCTGCCCCACACCTCCACTGGATCACAGCAGTCCTCCCATCCTATGGCAGCTCAGACAACCATTGTCAGGATCTTCACTAGTATCTCCACCACTTAATGCACTGCAACACAAACATGGTTGGAACATGGCTGACAAAAGCCCATTCAGAAAAATGTGAAAAACAAGCTCATTTCTAATCCTTTAGTGCAGGGGTCAGCAATATTTTTCAGCCGTGAGCTGGGCCACCGTCCTTCAGACCATGTGGTGGACCGGACTATATTTTGGAAAAAGAGAAAGAAAGAATTCCTATGCCCCACAGACAACCCAGAGATGCATTTTAAATAAAAGCACACATTCTACTCATGTAAAAACACACTGATTCCTGGACTGTCTGTGGGCCAGACTGAGAAGGCGATTGGGCCGCATCTGGCCCCCGGCCTTAGGTTGCCTACCCCTGCTTTAGTGATTTCAGTCTGTATCCCCAAGTGATAATCCACATCAGCAAATACCACACTTGCTCTGTTGAAATGGGGTGGGGGAGAAGAAACACCTCAGAATTTCTCAGCGTGACCCAGAGAGCTGTTATTTGAGCATGACAGAACACTGTTTATATATACTTGGTATATTCTCCAAATAGATATATGCATGACCCATTCCCTGCTGTGGACACCTGCACGGAGAATGCAAAGCTAAGCATGCAGAAAAGGAGAGGAATTATATTTGCATTACTCTTGTTAGTTAATGTTTGTAGAGCACTCAACAGGGATCTTGGTGCTGAACAATTTATATATGAATCATGAAACCAACATCCCGGCATGGAATAATAAAGTTTTGAAGTCTGATCTAAGGAGGTTTTGAACATAATGGCACTAAGCGATACGGAGTCCTGTTGACTTTGGCATTCTGTGAATGGTTTTAGTGCTACGTGTGATCATTTCAAAAGAGCAGACAATATTTACATTAGGAATAGCAAAACTCCCTAATATGAGTAGCAATGTATAGAGAGGTGAGATGGTAAATTCCAATTTGAGTTTTTATCTCTGGAGCTGGAAACCAAAGGAAGAGATAGTGTTCTTGTGCTTCAATCTGCTTATGGGTTTTCCACAGGCATATGGTTGGACATTGTGAGAAAAGGATGCTGGACTAGATGGATGATGGGCTTGATCCAGCGGTCTCTTCTTATGTTCTTAAGTGCAAATAGTCATGCAGCAGAGTAGCTTGTTGCCCTAGTGGCACTCATGGACAGCTGCCACTGCCCCCTTACTTTGCTTCCACCATTTTATTTTAACAGCAGCACTGCATATGTCCAGGTCATGAGTACAGAGTTAATTCAAATGGATTTTGTTGAAAAACAACTGCACACTACTACGTGGTTGTAAAATAATGCCAATAATGCATATCATTAAAGACAAGGCATATCATTAAAGACAAGGCACTCCTCTCAAAATCTTCCATTTACTACACACTTTTTTCAAGAGGAACTTAAGCCTTGCATGCAATGAACACAGAAAATGGGGCACTGAAAACTCAGTGGATGTCTCAGGTACAACTTCTCTTTGCCCTGCATCAGTCACAATAGGCCTTTAAATACATTCTGTCTTGAATTCACTCAACCCGTTGAAGTTGCCCTCTACCAACATTGATTTTACTTCACAGTGATCCCAGTAATACCCTCTTCAAACTCAAATCACGTTTAGTTACGTTAGAAAAATAAATCCAAAAAACGCTGCCTTTGAATCTTCCCCAAGCTCACCAGTTTGCCTCAGTATCCTGCCTTAAATGCCACACAACCATTTCACATCCAATTATAGAAAGCCCAAGAAGAGCATACAGGAAGAGGATAGGAATCAGAAAGACAGATGGATGGGGGAAAAGAGCTATGGAAAACTACAAAGCAAAATGAAATGAGAATGTGGATCCCATCCAATACTGGATCCCTGGCCTAAAGATTGCTAAGTGACCTTTTGATTTGACCAGTCTGTTGGTGATAGAGGCGATGGAGTTACTTTTGGGGGGATTTTTTTCCTTGGGGAAATTATAAGACATACTTCCAATCTGGTTCAAACAATCTCTGCATTTCCCCCAGGAATGATTAGTTTGGTCCCATTCACAGATTGTGGTTTGGACAAAGACTGCATTCTTCATTTTCATAGATCAAGTCCTAGCTGGCTGAGAATTATAGTAGAAAGGTTTCCCAGGGCAGGCCACAGTGCAGCAATTTTTTTTTAAAAAAAATAATGCTTTGCATTCCAAGCTCAGTATCTGGCATCTCAAAATAAAGTCTCAGATAGCAAAGCTTAGAAAGACCTTGGAGAGTTGTTGTTAGGCAGGGGACAAGAACAGGGCTAGATAGGAATACCAAGTCAGACTATTGGTCCAGGTAGCTCTGTATTGCCTACACGGACTGGCAGTGGCTCTCCAGGGTTTCAGGCAGGGAACATTCCCAGTCCTATCTGGGAATTGAACACCAGGGACCTTCTGCATGCAAAGCAGATGCTGTGCCGCTGAACTATGGCCTTCTACCAAAGAACCAATAGCTTGACTCAGTATAAATGCAGCTTCCTAAGTTCATATGATTTGTTTGGTCAAGTTACTGGTTGGCTGGATTTGGCTCCTGGGAAACTACTGTTCTTGGGTAATAGTAATTCATGTAGATAGCCCTGTGAGCATTATATTGATAATCACATTTCTGTTTCCGCCAAAAAATGTCCCCACTTGAATCATTTATTGTACCCAGCACTACTCTCAGGAAAAAGAGAATGGGAGCTGCCAACTCTGTGATGGAGACAAATGCAAAGTACGTAAGAGCAAGAAATCTGTAAAAGATAGCATGCACACAGACAATGCCAAAAGAGCATTATATTATATTAGCCACTAAGCTCAGATGGTGGGTGAAGTAAACTGATTGCATGAGAAGCCAAGGACCAGCGCCGGGAGGAAAGAGGACAGGCAGCAGGATCAAATACAGCAAGGCAGCACATTTAGCAGTACAACACAGTGACATCAATACAATATGACAGACAACGTAAGCTGAGTGTAATAGCCTGCAGTGGTACAGTGCAGCAGAGTAAGCAGAGTTCATTTGGAGGGTGAGAGACTGAATGAAATGTGTGGCAAGGTATTATGGGATGCAGCTATGTCTGGTCACTTTAAAAGTAAATAGCTTTCTAGCTCTATCTACCTAGATCTCCTTCAAAGGAACAAATCACTTTAGAGGGGGATTAGGTGAGAGATAGAAATAGGAATGAAAGAGAAGGGTCAGTGCCTCAGAGTCAGACAAGGACACAGCAAACTCCTGCAATGAAGCCACGAGTCTCCCCCTAATTAGAGGTAACATAAGCCTTCTGATTTCATCTCAGATTTAAAGAAATACATAGCAAGGAGCTAAATACTTTTATGGCCTCTTTGGCCCTGGGACAATGCACAGAGCGAAACAAATCATGGAAAAGAACCAGACAGTGTCTGATTCCCCTGATATCAGCACTGAGGCCTTGCAAGTTAAAAGGAGATAGCAGTGAGCCTAGCCACCCTGCATTGTCATTACTTGCCCCTTGTACCATTTCCTTCAGTTGGCTCTACTACAAATACCCAAACTCCAGATTAAATATGCATTATTGATCTGGCCTTTGGCTGGGAATGTATACTTCAAGAGCCCATTGTATATTTTATACAGTTTACTAGCACAGCTATACCTGCTGCCTATAAGCTACTGGAAACAGCTCATCAGCAATCAGAAAACAAACTACATCTAAATGCAATAAAATGAACTCTTGCTTATATGTGTTGACAGTGAATGTTCAAAATTCATGATTGCCTGAAAAGTCAAAATCCAAAAACCAAAATATGATCATCAACATTCTCTGGTTTGTGTTAAAAGGTAGGGAAAGATCTATACCGACTGGCAACAGCCTTCCATGATTTCAGACAAGAAGTCTCCCAACCCTGCCTGAAGATGCTGGGATCTGAACGTGGGGTTTTTTGCATGCAAAACAGATGCTCTATCAGCACCACTGAGCTACGGCCTCCTTCCCTGTGTTAGTTTCCCTCTGTAAATCGCATTGTGGCATTACCTGAAATAAAAGTATTCTGCAAAGTTTAAGTTTCCAGTTCTGATGCAGCTTATATAGAATGGAGAAAGGGGCAATTTTTGCCAGTGAGCACAATCTGCCCCTCATAGGCCAATCTGGTAGACCTAGAATACTGTATATGCAAAACTCATCCACTAATTTGAATGTGCACATCTCCATGCCACTCACCATTCTGCCCATGGGTAGCTGGAGAAGAATGGGGGCTAGAGAAATCCCTTGTGAAATCAACTGATGTGCCCCAAATATTGACAGATTTCTAACATCTAATGAATCAGCGATATGCCACTAATGAATCAGCGATATGCCACTTGATGTCATGGACTGGCTGCATGCAAAGGAGTAATTGGAGGTACCAGCTGGGGAACCTCCAAGGGGAAAAGGTTCAGATCCAGGGGATTGGTGGTGGGACGACGATGCATGGTCAGAGGGAGAAGAGGGAGCAGGCCGGGAGGAGTCGGAAGTTGAAGAGGCAACAGGGGTTAGCGAGCAGGAAGAGGCTGAGGCAGAGAGCAGTCCAGGCTCAGAGGTAGCCAAGGAAGCTGGAGAGGAGCGCCGGGGGGGGGGGGGCAGAATCCAGAAAGTCTCCCTCTCCTGCTGTGAACAGCTCCCCTTCCCCCGGTCTTCCAACACAGAGAGAAATGAAAAGGACAAAGCAACGAGATACAAGGCGATGGAGCCTTAACCTGCTGAGGAAAGAACTGGGGGTGGTGCCTTAGAGAGCAGTAGAAAGGCAGGGATCTTCTGTCCTTGCAACTGCCTCATTGGGGCAAGACCTACTGGGAAGAGTTGCTGGGATCACTAGGCCTGCACTGTTTTGGTTTCTCTGACACTGGTGACACTGACACTGGTGTTGTTATTGCTGACCTACTCCTGATTCTGGCTCCTGACACTTAATTATACACAGAACAGACTATAGAACGCGACAGTGGCATCTACTTAAATGTTCCTGGTCAATAGTAGGCACTCCCCAGCATCAGAAACTCAGCTGCAAATATGCATAAGTGAAAACACTATGTTGGTAAGGGAATGCAATTTTTTAGAGAAACTGGTATTCAGACAACAAAGTGTGTTGGGGGGCAAACGGATTTTGTAACTGGTAATTTCAGCAATAATGATAATATATAAAAGTTTGGACAAGTATGGATAAGGGCAAAAGAGGATGTTGTAATTCTGGATAGGCACCTAAACATTTCTGCCTTTCACCACATGTCATCTCTGTTGTTACAACATCTACTTTACAAGTACCAGAGGTATCTGCAATCTGAAACCAGAGCCGCTGAGTTTACACAGCATTTGGGGTGTCTCCTGCTCAGCTGCTTTCCATTGGCTCTCTTTTCTGTGTCACACACTCAGCAGTTGGTAGGCGAAGGGTAGAGATAAACTTTGCGACTCCTCCTGACCAGTGGCCTAGTGACACTAGTTGGTCTCTGAACTGTGCTATTTTGAAAGGACACTGGCAGACTTTTCCTGTTACACTTAAAATTGGTAACTTTATACACAGTCTCCCTGGACCTAGATCACATCACAGCAGCTGGCTGTAAAGCCATTTAATCTCTTGGAAATTGCTCTGGTTATAATCCATGACTCACAACCATATAAAATTATGGCCAAGCAAGATGCTTTGAACGTTTTCGATAAAGCACAAATACCAGTTGACACCTAAGTCAGAATGTCCTGCAGACTTCTCAGTACTGCAGCATAGTGTCCACACACCTCAAAGATCACTGGGCCATTATCAGAGATCTCTTTTCATATCATTCGGTTGCCAGGACACAGGCTGGCCCTTTCACCAAGACAGAAGATAAAACTCTTAGAATACCTTCCTTATTTTACTGGCACTCTGTACCTTATGCATATAGGGTTGCATTCAACTACATAGCTGCACTGGTGGGTGCAATGAGTCCTGTGAGAGTCCAATGAGCCAATCCAATGAGTCCTGAGAGCAACTGCCCTCCCTCCCTCTCCTCCCCCTGCACCTTCCCAAATATGCTTGGGAGGTTCAGGAAAAACCACAGTGGGAGAGGGAGGTGAAATTGTTCTGTGTGGCCTGCAGAAATGCTTGTGTTGATGGAACAATCGTAATAGTGCAACATTGAATTCCTCTCATAGCCACACACCAAGCCCACCACCTTAATTCTCTGAGTTTTGCACAATCCTTAGCCTGAAATGCAATTTAATTTAAAAGAATTTTTTTAAAAACAACAACCCAAAGCATCTTCCCAGTAAATTTCTGAAATCAGTCTGACCATTTTTGCAAGTTACATAAAGCTGTGAAACAAAGGGTTGATAATAATCAGGTGCTTCTTACTGCTCACATTTCAATGAGTTGTGGCAAGGAAGCAATTAAAAAGGTAATTGTGCAATTATACATGAAATAACTACGTATCATTCTCCTGTCTCCTAACTGAAATCTCTGTCCTCACCTACCCAGTTCAGGGAGTTTAAGATGGATAAATTCAAATTAATTTCCCTAGAAAGGCCAGTTAGCAAAAGTAACAAGATGATTCAGAAAGAAAATGGAAAATAAATTAGGTGGGGCAGGGGGCAGATTTTCAATAGGAGCGTTGTGCATGGGGAAAGGATTAACCTCTTCCACAAGTTTCCAGCCCTGATCACTCTTCTGATATCTGAAGTGGGGAAAAACATGTGGATTAAACACACTGACTAAGACATGGGGAGGAAACATGTGGGAAAACCTAGCCTTGACTCTTGCTGCATCATGAGATTTAAAAGATATATGGATGATTTTCAGGGTATACGGTAACCTGACAACCTTTTCTCTGAGCACTGGCTTTTCCTCCTTTAATGTACAATATATTTCACGCTTGTGGTACCTGAATGAAGTATAGTGATGGTTGATTATGGCCTCCAGAGCACTATCTGGCTGTCAAATACTATTGCTCTTTTCTAGATTACAACTGTTTTGGAAAACAATCCCGTCCTTCTGCTGTTGAAGAACATTATGTTATTTTATTTTTTTGGCCAATGATTACATTTCCTTTAAAGCACCTTGCACATTTTTAGTTCAGGGTAAAAATAACAGCAGAGAAGCTCAGTAGCTGGGTACAGTCCTTTGGGAGCATTCTTCTCAGCTTTCCCCCCACTGCTTATATATGTGGCCACAGTGAACTTCAGTTTTATGAGCCATTTACAACTCCTGAGCCTTTTGTGTTTGGCCCACAGAGCAGACAGTATTACCACAATAGTAATGTGGCTTATAAAGGCTTCTCTCTTCCTCCTTGTTTTTGGCTAGAACAAAAATAGAAAGAGAAAAATCTAACCATTCCATATTATTAATGAAAGGGCTTGTTTTGTCATATTTCTGCATGTGAAGTCTAGAGAAATTTGGCAGCGTATGGGCTTTGTCGACAGTGGGATCGTGGTTCGGTATGGTGACCAAAAAATATTTATTTTAATATTTTAACTTTTCCTTTTGGCCCTAAAGGTTATACAATTTAATTCTAAGAATACAAATTAAAGCAATCATGAAAAGATGTTTAGTACAACAAATATGAACAGCAAAAAACATATCCAAAGCTCAAATATGGTTTGCTGAAGACAAGGCTGCCCAAGACATTTTGTTGCCTGAGGCAAAGGACAAAGTAGCCTTCCCTGTTCCATATACAAATGAAGATTGGCAGTTGAATCTTGCTTGAACACTAGTGATGGGATAGCGTCCTCTGTATCTAAGAAAAACAGACTATCAGGGGTGTAAGTAGGGGGTGGAGGATGTACCAGTTTGCTTCCTCAATTTCTCATTTTTTTCAATCTCAAATTCAGTTCTCCACACTTCTCCACACACTTGGAAATTTTTAAAAAGTCCTCACAAAAAATCAACCAGCCTGCTAATGCAAATTTCTCCTAATATATATTTTTTTTGTATGCAATTTTGCCTCATTGACATACTTTTGCAAAGCAGTTTTCATAATATAATGTGTCTTTGTGAATTATTTTAATTAATATATACATTTATATGCACACTCTACCCTAGCATATGCATTTCTGTACACATTACTTGGATCGATAACTTCACTGAAAAATTCAAATAAGTGTGAATGTATTGGGATGGCTGTGTTCCCAGTTTATGTGTCATTTCAGAAAGTGTGAATTAGGTAGGTTCACATTGAATTGCAAAGTGAATCAATTTCCTCCCACATCCCTAGGTGTACCTACCACCTGCGGCAATAACCACAAACTGCGTTATGGAAGAAGGGTCAGCTCAACCTAAAACTATCTCTAATTGTTTAATTCTGTGAAACTGTTTGCTTGGGTTTTGACATTAACTAACAATTTAAAAACCAGGCAGAAAGTAGCGGAGCTCTCCCATGAAAAGGAGTTTACAAGCTTAGGGTTACTGCTCAAATGGCCTCACCTCAGGTCACCATAGTGAGAAACGGATTCTGCGGACAATCTTACATTTTAAATAAAAGCACACATTCTACTCATGTAAGAACACCAGGAAGGCCCCACAAATAACCCAGAGATGCCTTTTAAATAAAAGGACAAATTCTACTCATGTAAAAACACGCTGATTCCTGGACCGTCCGCAGGCTAGATTGAGAAGGCGATTGGGCCGGATCCTGCCCACGGACCTTAGTTTGCCTACCCATGCCTCAAGGCATTTCTCAACCTTGGGCCTCCAGCTGTTTTTGGACTACAACTCCCATCATCCATAGCTAGCAGGGCCAGTGATCAGGGATGATGGGAGATGTAGTCCCAAAAACAGCTGGCGGCCCAAGGTTGAGAAACACTGCCCTAAGGTATCATGCTGAGCAATACCATTTATTGCAGAAGTTGTTGATCTTCTTGTGCACGTGGGGACATTTGAATTTTTGAGTGAATACAGTGGGCATCACCCACTGGTCACTTCTCTCCTCTGTGACCCAGATCAGCCTTCTCCCCGTGCCCTATGGAGACAGAAAGTTCATGCAGACCCACTTTGCTTTTCAAAAGTTTAGACAAAGATCACCTCCAGAAAAATTAACCTGAGTCTTGAAAAGCACATAATTTGGTTCTTCAGCTAGGGTCTATTTAAAAGGATTCTCCCCTGCACTTTGCATGATCAGAGATGCAGATATTTGGCATGGCCATCTTTCATTAAGTGGTCAGTTATTTGGTAATTTACAGTAATATATTAGTCCACTCAGAAGTCTCAATGTCAGCAGGGCTTAAATCCACATCTGTATAGGACTGTAGCCTTAGTGAATGGGTTTTTCTTTCTGCTGCCTCTCATCACCATAGGAATTTTCCATTGGATCAGATTATCTAGGCATCGAGGTGGATTAATTGTCTTCTCATATATCATGTTGAACACCTCACTCTGGATTGTTTTACTAAACCATTAAAAATGGTGGGTCTCTCTGCGGTGCATTGCACCCTGGGTTAATTTGTAGACCAGAATGTTAACATGTGGTATATATGTTTTTACTTTAGAACAGAGGACTGGACTAGAAGAAGTTCCCTTAAAATCCTATGATCATAACAGTAGATCTACAGTAGTACATTAAAATGAAATATAATGTACAGGTTATGCCTGTATTATTTTAGAAAACACAAAAAGTAAAGAAAGCCATGTTACTCTATTAGAAAAAGAAGTGAAGAACCCATTGTTAAGTGTTTCTTTTTAGGGCCAAGCAAAGTAAGCCACAAAATAGTGAGCAAGCTTTCGGGTTCTGCAGAACTCCCCATCAGGCTGGATTGTTTTAATCTCTAACCTGATGATGAGTTCTGGAGAATTTTTAAAACTTGCTTACTATTTTGTGACATTTTGGTTGATCCTAAAACTATTGCCTGACTGAGTTTTTAAAATGTGGTCTATAAAGATTCTAAAAACAACAACTGGAGACTGCCCTAAAACAGTCAAGGACAGAGCAGATAAATGACACAATTCTATTGTTACTAGACTTAGACAATAAGCAACTTCAATACACACCCCATGAAGAAACCCTAAGCACAATGCAAGTAATTACGTATCTCTCAGCAGCATAATCCTTTTATGCAGGTCAGTATCATATAGACAGTTTGATGGGCTTGTAGGGGGATCTAGCTTGCATGTGCTTCTGCTCAGAGCAATTATATATTGACTAATTAAATTATTCAGCTGCCTGCATTGTCAAAAGCTGCCCTTTCCCTTTTAATTGCTTTGGATAAGCAAACAGGTACGACATAAAGAGGATTTCAGTCTGATTGTTAATTTTTTCAGAAGAAACATTTAATCTATGTGCAATAAAACATGAAAGTATACCCTGCACTACAAAGAGCAACCAGTCAGTAAAACAAAGCTCCATGTAAAGAGAAAGATTTTTATTTTATTTACTTATTTTGCATTCTTCAATTTAGCTCAGTATGTATTCTGCTCAGGTGTACAGAATATCTAGCAACCCTGTCTCCTGCGGTTGTCAACACAACCCAGTATACTGTAAAATAAAGTCTAATGACTATGTGCATTTATATGTCAACAAGGAGCAAGCTTTGGACTTCTGGCTCACTGCCAACTTAGCCCAAGGTGCTGTAAAATCTGGCCTCTTCAGAATTAAGGACCAACTCTGTCAGCATTTATTGCCCTACCCATTATTTACTGCTCTGTACAATGAACAGAGTCAGTGGAATTAGAGAGATGTCTTGGAAAGTTTTCCAGAACAACCAATAGTAAGAAGCACGCTCCTTAGCAGCAAACACAAGCAGCATAGCGCTTTAATGGTGGTAGTGGTGAAGAGCAACGTTAGGCAAAAGTTCAAAATTGTGGCTGTTCCCTGACAAGGTTGGATATGTTACTATTTGGTGCTAGTGGTACCTCGGGCTACATACTCCTCAGGTTACATACGCTTCAGGTTACAGTCTCCGCTAACCCAGAAATACTACCTTGGGTTAAGAACTTTGCTTCAGGATGAGAACAGAAATTGTGCTCCGGTGGCACAGAGGCCCCATTAGCTAAAGTGGTGCTTCAGGTTAAGAACAGTTTCAGGTTAAGAACGGGCCTCTGGAACGAATTAAGTACTTAACCCGAGGTACCACTGTATATGCAAAAAGAAAAAACAGAAAAGCACAAAAAGGGGAAAAGAATGTCCATGGGTGCAGAAAGAAAGAAAGGAAAAATGTGTTAGTCATTATTTAAAAGAAGAAAATAAATTCAGTATGCACACATTTCTAGTTATGCTCTTCAAGAAACTTTAAACCAGTAAAATACATTTTCTAATCTTGACTTCTTTTGGAGAATGACCTTAAGACTGTATATTTAACTTAATAGCCTTTTCATTAGTAAAAGCAGGAAGAATATATATGCATATATCCTTACCAAGCATTCAACCAAGTTCTTCTGAATTCCTCTTTGTAATTTTATAGCAGCAGGAATAAAAACAAACACCTGCTCAATTAATTATGTTTTCCTGTACCTGTGGTGGATTCTCCTTTACCACCACCACTTTTTCGTGCAGGAGTAAATATGAGCCAGCATTCTTTCCCTTCCTTGGCTGCTATACTTAGTAGGTTGGCCTGGAAACAAGACCTATGGGCCACTGGAATAAAGAGTGAATAAAGCTGGGTGCACCTGGGAGTAAGAACAGGAAGAAGTCCCAAGAATTTAAATGTGACTATCTCCAGATTAAGTGAGTGTAGCATTGCAGTCCTAGAGAGGTCTTGGTCAAAGAGAGATCTGAATCGGCTGAAGTCTCTCAGCTGCTATCCTATGCTAGTTCACATAGCTGCCCGGACGGTGATGAGGACCCATGACAGAGCCTTCTCAGTGGTGGTTTCCTGTTTCTGGAATGCCTTCCCTGGTCAGATGCATCTGCCTCCCTCATGGTTAGCATTACTGCAGAATTTTAAAACATTCCTTTTCACACAAGCATTTTGTGGCTAATACTGTTCCTAGTAACCTTAAAAGTATTAGCTCAGAGGGTATGCAACTATTTTTAAAGTATTTTAAATTGTTTTTAGTATTTTTTTTAAAAAAACCAGGTTATTATTTTGTTTTTAATGGTGTTGTTTACTACTTTGTTGTTTGCTGCCCTTAGCTCCTATGGGGAGAAGGGAAGGGAAAAATATAAGAAATAAATAATGATATAGCATTGAGTAGTATAGCTCAGTTCTGAGGCTACTGAAATGCCATATAGGACAAGGCCGGGGAGAAGGTAGATGCAGGTCTCCTGTTAGATCTCTGAGTGATTTGCTGTACATCAGTAAGCGTTTCCAACTCTTAGTTGTCCAAGAGCAAGGAAAAACCCTTTCCTCCTAAATTAGGCTACAAATATGAATGGACTTGGATGAAAGGACTGTGAGCGCAAAAGAGTCAGATGCATCAGGCAAGTGGCCCACCTAGTCCAGCATCCTGTTCTCACAGTGGCCAACCAGACACCTATGGAAAACCCATAAGCAGCACCAAGCGAAAGAGCACTCTTGCCTCCTGCAGTTTCCAGCAGCTGTATTCAGAAGCATACTGCTTCCAACAGCAGAGATGGAACACAGCCTTTAGGGTTGGGAGCCACTGCTAACCTCCATGAAGTTTAATCCTCTTTTAAAATCGCCCAACATGGTGGCCACCCACCACTGCCTTTAGTCAGAGTGAATTCTAAAGTTCAACTACAGGCAACCCCCGCATATTGGTGGAGAGGGTGGAAGCCCACCTCGTCCTGCCCCCTTTCCCGGCCACTTCTGGGTTGCAGCGATGCATGCCTGCTAAACAAGTGTAAAAATGGTTGTTGCCTGTATGTGCTTTTGTCTGTCCTGAATCTCCCAACTTTCAATTTCATTGGATGCCCATGAGTTCTAATGTTATGAGACAGATTTCTTTTCTTTATCAACTTTCTCCACGCCACGTCTATCATGTTGCCTTGGTTCAATTTTGGTTCTGTAAACAAATCTGTAAGGTTTAGAGGCACTCAGTTGTTTGTTTTTAATTCTAAATCTATGTCTTTTGCACCTGGCTCTGGCTGATAGATCCTGGAGTTCTAGAACAAAACAAAACTTATCAGACAAGCTTGAAACCTGTCTATCCCTGGTCCAGGACATTCAAATTACATGTTTTGCACCGTTCAGTGGAGTGGCTGCTGGCTGGCTCAAAGCTGCACGTATGATTTCTCTCTCTCTTTGACCATTGTGTTCTCTTTTCATGTTCTTGTCTAACATATTGATTGAGAGGAGCGAATGACAGCTGCTGTGCAAATTCCACACCTAAGAACCACAATGTGTCAGCTCGGCAAGCCTTTCAAAAGGAGTTAGCGGGCCGGGAAGTGGGGTGGGTGGGCAGAAGGCATTGTGCTGAGGTAATGGGAGAGTCTGTAGAGCAGCATTACCTGCAGATTTAGCTTTCACATCAACTTCGAGAACAATGTGCCCAGCAGGTCTACCCAAATGTTCCATTTCCCCATGAACATGGAGCTCTTCTGTTCATACCGCACAGCAAGCCGGCTAATATCACACCTGATTGCTTTTGACTTACCCTGAGTAACAGATGCTTGTTCCTGGCCAAGTGAGCCGGCGGGACGCGAACCTCCACTGGGAAGAGTAGATTGGCTGGTTTAGCTCCCACATCTCTGGTGCGTAGGTGGGGATTACTACCTCATCTGGAGGGGGGGCTGTCAAGGGGTTGCAAGAACCAAGCAAAGGCTTTAATATTTGAATGTGCATGCTGAGCCAACCTGTTCAGCCAAAGTGAAGGAAATGTTGACGAAAAAGAACCTCAAACTGCCAAAGCGCCATTAACGTGGTTATACAGCATAGCATTATTTCTGCCCCCTTATTTCTGTCAAGTCAAAAGGAGGGGGGGGGGAGGATGCCAAAGGAAGTCCTTGGGAAGGGGCAGCACTTTAAAGGCCGCACACTGAATGAGCCTGAAGGGGAAACTGAGGTAAAAGGGTGGGGGTGTTCTCCTCCTCGAGTTTCTCTCCGCGCCAATTACAGCTGTACTCTGGAATACACGAAGCAGTAAGAAGCGGGAGCGAGTTTTCTTTGGTGGTGGGGAGCATGCGCAGAATCCGCCCCCCCCCCAGCAACAGGTAACCACCACAAGCTCCGGATCAGGTAGCATGATTCGTGGTTTAAGCCCCGCCACGTCTCCTTTTAGAAGTGATGGCTGAGGGAAGAAGGATATAGAAATGGAAGTCCGCCCCCCGCCACCGAACAAAATGTAAAAGGAAAGGCCTTCGCTGCTTAATGCTTAATACAGGTCACGGCGGGCGGCGAGCCTTTTAAGCGAGCTCAGCGCACCGCCTCACTTGCGCGCGCGTCTCTGGGCCCGGAAAGCGCGGGCCGCGCGAACCCTTCCTCCCCCTCGGCGTCTCTCCCAGAACGAAGCCCGCCAAAGCGGCGGCGGCGGCCGCTCCCCTCATCTTCCTGCGCCGCGCCTCCGCCGAAGCCCAACCCAGCCGAGCCTCCCGCTGCCGGGGCTCCTCCCAGTCCCAACCGGCGGGCTCCAGGCCCCGCCCCGCCGCCCGGCTCGGCTGGCTCCTGACTGCTGCTCGTGGTGGCTGTTGCCGCATGCTGTTTCGTGCCGTTGCCGGAGGAGCTGGAAGATGGCGGAGCCGGGGCCGGACTGCAGCGCGCTTCTGGACGAAGAGCTCTCCTCCTTCGTCTTCAACTATCTCACCGACAGCCAGGTACGGGCTCCGGGCGCTGCAGCCCAGCCTCCTCCAGGCGCACTCCCGGCCGGCCGGCACGTCTGGTTCTCGCAATCTCCGAACAGGGGCCGCGGGGGCTCCTGTGCACGGCGGGGACGGGGGACAACTGAGTCTGGAGCGGAGGGAGACTGGGGTCTCGGCGTGCAGGGACCCCAGAGCCACCGTGCACCGGCATCTCTCTCTCTCTCTCCCCCCCCCCCGGAAATGCCGTGTAAATGGGACTCAGATCTGTTACATGTCGAGGAATCGCGGGGGTGGTGGGGTATGGATCCCGGATCTGTCATGCACCACGAAATATGGGGGGCGCGGGACCCAGACCTGTCATGTACCGGGGAGCTCGGAACGCAAGGATTTCCGTTCTGACATGCACTTGGGTTTGGGGCTCACAAGGACGCCGCATCCACTCTGCATAGAATTTAGGGCTCCGGGAAGGAACCGGTGTGTGTGCGCGCGCGCGCGCTCAGACCCAACTTGGAAGCCTGGGGCATAAGACCCCACAGAACAGCCGTGCACAGGAGTGGGGAGGCGGGCGGGAGAAGCATTATGATAGTCTACTTAGATCTACGAGGCACCTTGCATATTTCAGAGAGCGGGAAGTGCGTGTGTGTAAGGACTTTTGATTTCTCTGTAGCGGATCCCTTCCTTGTTCCTCTTCATGCCCCGACAGCGGAAAATGAAAGAGAGCTAGATGTATGGCTGTTCTGACAGATTCCAGGGCGCGGAGCCTGGATCTGTGCGGCTCTATGAGCCGGGATTCCTCCAGACACCAGACAGAATGGAGGAGCGTGGGGAGGGAGCTTGCATGCTTGTGCAGACGGAGCACAGCCCCGGCTGAGTAGCAAAAGCAGCCGACTGCCCTGGAGGCCGGCGTGTGCTGCTCCTCTCCATGCAGCACTTAGAGGATCCGGCGGAAGGAAGACGTAGTGTGTTCCTACGGCGAAGCTTCAGTTTGCGGGTAGCCCACCCCCAACCCCCGCTTATTGCTGGGGAATGAACAGAAGAAACTCGAGTAGCCCGAACACTTTTCAGCACCACTCGCACGTGGACTAGTGGGTCACGCTGCTCTGCCGCTGCCCCAGATAACAAGCGAGCTGCCTTGCTTTTGCAGCGTCTCCCGGTTGGAGCTGCAGAGCCTCCCTCCCCTCTCCGCAAAATAAAAATAAAGAATCTGCCTACAATTCTCTCTTCGGGGTTATCTTTTTCTCCTGGATGTTGTTAGGATGAGAGAGGTTGGGGTGCAATGGACGGGACAGTAAATAGAGCCGTTATTCTTCCCAGTGTGTATTTAATTCACACACCCCTCTTCCTCCGGGCATGTTCTCTCTGGAAGCGCGGCTGTTGCTTTCCTCTCCTTTCTACAATGTATGAAGGCAGGACTGGCAGCAGTTCAGCTTGACTGTGGGGCAACTGGAATAAATGGGTGCTGGATCCCCCCCCCCCTCGTCGCGCTGTCCTAGAGATTTGCCGGTGGGAGCTCTAATTTCTTGTGCGCGTGAGTCATGCGGGCTGCTCGCTATATACCTGCAGCTTTGGAGAGGGGGCGAGAGAAGAAGCGCGCGCGCGCGCGCGCTGGAGTGGAGGGGGGGGTCTGAGTTGCTACAAATAAGCAACTTTGCAGATCTCTCTCTCTTTGGACTGGGCTACATGTTAAAATCAGATTAAGGGTTTCTTGGCAGCCGTCGGTTGATCACGAGCGGGTGCCTGCTGGAAAGGCAGCCGGCTGCATTCTTTTCCATGGGGAGGAGTGAGTGGGGGACTGTGGAGCCGATATGCTGCGAGACCATCATGCATCTCTCAAGCCAGGAGCCTGTTGCAATCGCAAAGAGTTTTCCATGGTTACGATTCCAGTACCTCCCGTTGCCCTCCCGTTTTTCGTTTTGCTGTCTCCTCATAAACAGAGATTACTAAACTGCTTTGATTTGGGACATGGCACATTCCTCCCCCACTCCCTTCGCTTCCTTGACTTTATTCATTTACTTACTTATAGGAGAACAGAGCGAAGTCTGCTGTGTTTGGGCTCCAAACAAGCAGCGGTGCCCTGCTCTCGATCATCCTGATTTGTCCCTAGCGTTTTGTGTGTTTATGTGCCAGACAGAACTAGGCTGGACCTGCTCCAGCCCAGACTCGTGTAGTCTGAGCACCTCCGTTCCAGAGCCAGTGCTAGAGCTTACCGGTTTGTCATGGGACATGTTGGCAAGGGGAATTTTTCAGAGAATCAAGTAGGAGATGCTGGCAGCTTGTTTAAAGAACTGAGGGCAGAATATTTTGTAAGCAGGGTCTGTCTGCTCCACCACAACCGTGCAAAAAATTATTTATGGGATGTTGGGGGGGGCGGATTAGGAAACTCTGCTGGATCAATAAAACACTTGTTTGCTTTTGAGAGGAGTGGGGAAGAAACCTTTGGGATAAAAGTATTATGGGGAGTGTATCAAATACTCTGGTTGCCTTTCTATATATTTCTCCATACTGAAAAAGCAGAACCTAAAGTATTGCCTACTTTGTGGGGGTCAGGAGAAGTGAGACATCTTGCCTCATAAAAAATATTTGCAAATGTAATTGGAGGGAGGCATGCCCTTGTGTATTGGGCATGAATAGACATGCGAGTGAAAATGTCCAGAAATATCTTCACCAACTCTGTTATGTGAGCAGCTATCCATACATAGGCAGCATTGTTGCTAATATATGATATAGAAACTGATTACATTCATAATACTTGTGGTGGGCTGATTTTGCTTGCTGCTGTTAGTCCCACTGTATTGGTTGGAAGTGCATTAATCTTTGGATTACACTTTCTCCTCTGCATGTGTGTGAGGGTTAAAGTCTGGAGTAAATCAGAGTGGCATGTGATTGCCCTGAAAAGGAAAAACTTGTAAGTGTGCTTTGTACTTCTACCTTAACCTCTGATGAAACAGCAGTGAAGGCTCCAGCCTTGGCTTCTGTCACATGCTTCTTTTGTAACTATAAGCGGGAGGTGGTTCCTAGGCTTGCCTCTGACGTCTCTCCCCATTACTACTCTACAGTACTAGCCTCTTCTTACAGCTGGGCTGCTGAGTTCTCAATGAAATCTGAAAGCTGATTCTGCAAAGCCCCCTATGTTCCAGCACAGGATCAGATTATTCTTAAGAGGCTAAAATGTCAGGAGGCTATGGGATAATGAATATTATCCATTTCTTTCAGAGACCCTGAAGGATTTCAGCTTTTGTCATCATATATTATGGAGAACCCCCTTCCCCCTTCCTCTGTTTGCAGCAGCATTGCAGAAATTCGTGTCATGATGCTATGAATTTCATAGTACAGGTGAACCAGAGCCCAGTTCAAGCACAACTAAAGGCATCTTGAGAAAAAGGTGCAATGAAATGTTAACCTGATTTGCCTCGGTTTTATATTCACATTGATAGCTGTTATGTATTGAGGGAAAGGATGTTTCACAAAATGACTGCATTGCAACAGATAGAGATTAAAGGCCTTTTCTTCTGCAGTCTGATTTTTCATCAAAATGGAGTTATTGTGCAGCAGTATGAAATGTATGATTTATGTGCAAGGCAGCATGATGCATTCTGAGCTACTCATTTCAAGTTTGTGGCCATTGTTGTTAATTCACCAGGCGTTGGAAGGTATCAGGAATTACAGCATATACTTTTCTGCCTCTGTAGAAGAGCAAGAAAGCAGTTCGACTTTTCTGTTTTTCATTTGTTGAAGGAAAAATAACCATCATGATAACACAGGCTGCTGGCTTCAAGCTTCCCGGGGCAATATTTCCTCTTGATTTTCTCAGCATCTTGTTAACAGCTCAATTAATTAATGGTTGGAGATGCAAACAGTTATTGACCAAAACAAAATGGTTTGTCTTCTTTCAGACACATGCATACTTCCATCTATTTAATAGATCTGCATAATGATCCTTTTGGCTGACAAGAGGTATTGCTTTGAATGCCCATTTCTCTACCCGTTAAATAGGGCAAAAGCATGGGTATTGTTTTCCTTGACAGTACAAGGGAGATGATTCTTGGTGGAACAACATGCAAGTGTCCTTTGAGTACCTGGCCAGCACACTCTGTTTGAAGAGGTGAACTCTATATTTTGCCCTGCTGTGCTTCCACTGTCTTGTGAACCTCAGTGGCATAATGGAGAGAAGAGGAGTGGTAGGATAGTTCTCACTTACCTGATTCAGGTTTTACAGTCTTGAATGGGCATTTGGTGAAGCCATCATACCACCTCCTCAGGGGTGCGCAAACACTGCACAGACTTGTTCACACCAACATTTGTGACTAACATACATGACCCTGGTCATTTGTGGGTGATGATGGCAGCCTTGTTTGTTTTTGTTGTTTGCATGTTTATTTCACATGGAAATGATAAGCTTCTTTTTTATTAACACTGCTTTATTTGCTTTGGCAAGTGTCAGCAATGGATTGAAACAGAAAGATGAATTACCGGTATATAGTCAGAAGAATTGTGCATTTAGAGTCCTTTCTAGACTGTACCGCTTTAGATTGCAGGCAGTGGATCGCATATTTGAATATCCCTCATTCCAAAAATGTTCTGCCT